GAACGTTAGAAATCTCATGGACTTAGTCATAGCTCTATAGGCACAACGACTCAATGACTTGCTTTTTCATTCCTTAGAGATCCAGAAGAATAGGTGCAGTTCAACCTAAAACACTACGAATCTTGTCAAAATGAAAGACTATCGTACTAAATATTCCACATTAAACACACCAAACTGAGAGTTAGCCCTACCCAGTTTAATAAAAACAATTGAACAAGTCTTCAAACAAAAAAAACAAAGCGGCTGCTTCCAATAACCCTAGCTACTTGAATCATAGAGAACTCTCCTGAGTTGCTGACAACTGCCACATCAATGGAGATATTACATCTAATCGAAAGGATTCTAATCTTATCATTAAGGATAATTTTGAAATAACTGAATCCTATACTATATTGTTACCATCAAGGCAGTAGTACCCCAAGAAAAGAAAGCGTATTGATCAACCATACCTCTATCGCACAATTGTTCATCCTTCTTCTTCTTCCTTATCAGATTCACCGAGTTTAGGACAACTAGTTTCAATGCAGTCACCAGACCACCGACTAAGCTGATCAACGTCGTCACAATGTAGATTGCATCATTTCTTGTCGTCACTGTATAACTGCATGCAATCGGGCGACATTGTTCAAAATACTTATCGAATGTTAATGTCCAGTTCCATATTTCTATCATCAATTCGTCGAGTATATCACCAACAGTACTTGTTGTCAAGAACCGACTGGGTGTCGTTCCATTCATGACTGTTCCATTCCAGAATACAGTCGAGCTCAAATAGAATTTCAGGGAATCGAAGCAAATTGGATCATAGAAACATTCGAGACTTGATTGTAGTAAGGCTTCTAGNCCCCCCCCCCCCCCCCCCCCCCCCCCCCCCCCCCCCCCCCCCCCCCCCCCCCCCCCCCCCCCCCCCCCCCCCCCCCCCCCCCCCCCCCCCCCCCCCCCCCCCCCCCCCCCCCCCCCCCCCCCCCCCCCCCCCCCCCCCCCCCCCCCCCCTGAGAATGAAAATGTGGAAGTACTCGACCGAAAATATCTCACACTCACACCCATCCAGTCTGATTCATACAACTTTTTGATTTTGTTCTGACATATTGTTTGCCATAATGATATTGATTTTTTTCCGTCCTTAAGAAAATACACCTTTCATTTAGGACTGTTTTTTCTTTAACAAGAGTTTCACATTTACGATCTATTGGTGGAATGTTCTCAGTGATGGTTTTTTCCATCGCTACATATTAAGGGATCAAAACATTTTTCTTTATTCAGATTATTCGAGAAAAAAGAGACCCTTGAAACATCATGGAAAGTGTCGTATTCCACTCTCTTCCAAAATCCTTTTCATCGTCGTGGATCAGAGATATCCGTTAAAAAATGTTCAAATCAAGGAAACCTTCCATATATTAAGTCGAACGAATACAAAAGATTATTTTGTGTTCTTTACTTTATCGGAAGGTAAATTTGAATTTCAACATCTGAATTTGATAGCGTTTCATGACTCCTTCTTCAAGAACATTCACAGTAGATAAACACAACCACTTACAGAAAACTATTTATCACAAATAATAATATCCGCTGAGTTGACTTAGTTCAGTACTATCAGATCAGTATCGCCAATCTTAGCCTCCGTAAATATTTCAACCCAAATTTGTCATCATGGCGAACAATCTGAGCCCTGAATCGAGCATTCAGAGCAAGCAAACTCTATTGAGGAAAAGGATTTTAACCATCGTTCGACCGAACAAAATTCATTCTATTTTCTTGGCTACTATCTGCTTTAAAGTGGATTCCGCAATAAACACTAACTTGCAGTTACCATTTTCTGAAACGAATGAAATGATTCGTGTCATCAAGACTGAAAAGTGGTCATTATCATAGTCTAACGTAACAATGGCAGAGCTGGGCAAGTACAGACTTTCTCAAGCACAAGTACACTGATAAAAAATCCGGGTAATGATCTACCCCTGCACTTAAAAAAGTCGCCATTAAGCCCCTGAAGGATTTATGACGCTGTGGATTTATGAAAATTCAAGGGGTATATGATGGGTACATAAGGATTCATTATTCTACGATTTTAAGATAAGAGTATATTCTTCAACGGATGATAGTAGATTGTTGTTCGCTTTCAAGGTATGGGTATTTTATTCTTCGTTATCGGGTTTACTATTTTACTTTTTCGTTAAAAGGGTACATCACTCCGCCTTTGTGGGTAGAGTAAACTATCCTTTCTCAGTAACAGTTCATTATTCTACGCCTAATGGTAGATTCTGCTACCATTTCCTGCTAAGGGTTTAGTATTCCACGTTCAACAGTTGATTCATCTACATCTTAATAAAAAGGGTTTAATACTGTACGTGAATGCTCGATTCTATACCTCTTCATTCGCAGTTTTTTTTATTCTACTGACAAATATCGGCTTATCTACCTTAGCATCTCAAGGGATAGTTTCATCGTCGGTTGATGGTTGATTCTACTTCTCTTTTGTTAAAAGAAGTTCATTGTTCATCATACAGGGGTTGATCTTTCCACTCTTTCGTTGAAGAAGGTTTATCATTCTACGCACAGAGATCGATTGTTCTACTCTTTGATTGGAAAGATGTATTACTTTACGCACAGGGGTTGATTATTTTACCTTTGCGTCAAAAATTGTTTCTTAGGGTGTCGGTGTGAGGGTCTGGATCTGGTTAATGTTATTTTATACAGTCACCCACGCGTTAACTTGATGAAAAGAAATAGTAAGATGCTCATGGTTTCTTTTTGCACTGGTCATAGCCGAAAGGAAAATATGGATCACTTATTTGGTGAACTTGCAGTGTACATGAAACAACGTTTTGATGTGCGAAAATAAGAAGTAGCGAAATTAGAGTCACACTTCATTGACTCAGGTAAATATTTTATGCAAGAAAAAAAGAAAAAATATGTAACGCCTATATATATATATGAAGTAATACCTCTTGCCGACTCACATTAAAAAAAGCATTTTGATATCGGCTGGTAAGTAGTCTTATTCGATCATCAATATTTCCACATTAGCGAAGTGTTTGACTTTTACAATATAGTAGTGTAGATAATAATGACAGCAAAAATGACAGGAGATAAACATGCATGTTTGTGTTTAATATGAAGATATTGAAAAATCTGAGATAGAAAGTGTTACAGAGGCCCCGCTGTAACTTAAATCAATTCACAAAATAGAAATTTATGTTTCTATTTAATCAATCAACAAGAAATTTCCTATTTTCGATTCCTAATCTGAATCTTAATATTTTCTGTATTATTCTTTTTTTCCTATTTATACTATAGAACCCACACATATACACACACACAAGAGAGAGAGAGAGAGAGAGAGAGAGAGAGAGAGAGAGAATAAACAAAGGAAGAAAAGGCATTTGTTTTTTCGACTAGAATATTCTCTAGACTGAAAGAATAGGGTCTAGAAACCGTAATTCACCTGTGCCTGTATGTCTATCTGTCTGTAAAACTGGCACAAATGACCATTTTTATGGCACAAAGGGCATTGTTACTGCATAAACCATGGGGATGCATGACATGGTCACTTGAAACAGTCTGCTCTGGAGATGGGGTCAGTGGAGGGGCGACCTGATCCCCTACGGAACTTTGAGCTAACCATCACAAAATTTCTGAACCCTGCGTTTTGTGGCTAGGCAAGACTCAACCTCTCCGCTGGCTTAAGGGTCTTTGAGTCTCATTCTGCCGGTGCTTCGTCTTCACTTTTAGTGCTTCTACTTGAAACCTTTAATTTTCGTCTAATTATTACTTCAGTTTCACTTATTCCCACCCTCTTTACAGGTCTGTTTAAAAATATCACCACCAACTGCTGGCACAAACAACCGATTTTTTGACCTGTCCATGCATTTCTTCTCCTCAGCGCTGTCAGTCTCGGGTCCAGTGAATCGACTTTCGATGTCGATGAACGTTACTTATTTTGTATATAAATATGATGGTGCATCATTCTATAAATGCACTTAAATTTCAGTCGAAGAAACGATGCACATTATTTACGTCGTCACGCACGAGAAGAAAGAAGACACAATAGAGAGATATACAGAGAAAGGAGAGAAAGAATGAAAAATAGCGGTTGACGTATGAGCATCTCGAGTTGAATTGCACATGTAAGAAATACATAACGTATAAAGACGAAACAAGAATGTATAAGAATAAATAAATAAGTAACTTGTTAGACTACTCTCTAACAACTTCGATAGGGTTTATGAAAATGTAACGTATGATACACTGTTTTAAAGTTGTTCAGTCGTATAAACTCTATAATAAACCTTTCGGCACGCGGTATATTCACTTGATAAACCTTTTTATTTTGCCTTTTGGTGAGTAGATAAAAGGGTTCATCGCATGCTGCTAAACGGTAGAAAAAGGTATATCATACGTTGCATTTTCATAAACGCTTTAAACGTTTATCATTCGGCGCTTTTTTTATCAGTGCATGAATACAAGTATCCATACCATGGTATCGGCAAGACTAGAATTTTTCAAATTAGCTTCTACGAAGAATAGACTTAAAGTTTTACAACGTACTATATATATACATGCCAAAATAAAATAAAGGGTGATCCAAAAATCTTGGTACTACATATAAAAATTTTATTTTCTCCCTTTTCTGCAAATCAAAAAATTCTCAAACTTGGGTATATAATAACTTGCAACTAGGTGAATATTATCCTAAATTTTTACACTTCTAGTTCTCACTTACAAAGAATATTTATACACTCAAATACTAGTGAGGATCTTTTTTCCTATGACGTGGTAAAGTTTGAATAGTTTCGATCTCCATTAAGGGAAGGAAAAAAAGGAAAACAAAGAAAACGAATTGACTAATATAAAATAATATTGCTAGATTAACTCCACCACGGAAATTACAACTTTGCAATCTCTGTGTCGGTCACAAGTCCGAATGAAGGAGGAGTGTTGGGTGGAAGGGGTGCAGATACCGCCACCTGTAAAAAAGAAAAAGACGAAAGAAACCAACCATGAACGGTTATAATCAAACTCCATACCGGCTCGGACGTCGCCCGGGTAAACAAGGTCCGCGTCCTCTGCCGGATAATCAGGGCAGAGTCGAAAAATTGGCAACTGGAAAAACAGATGTGATGACAAGAACAAAGGATACGAATAGAGGAACAGGAGTAACAACAATAAAAACAAATGATGGTGCACAGAGGCTAAAAATAACGAAAGATATATTCACAGTTGGCACATGGAATGTACAAACTCTGTGGACAACAGGAAAGTTAGAATTATTAAGAAACGAAATGAAACGTTTTAGATTCGACGTTGTCGGCATTTCTGAAGTACGGTGGACTGGAAAAGGCGAAACACCGAGGGGCGACTTCATTTGGTCAGGCGAAAACACGACACACACGAAGGGTGTAGGGTTGTTACTTAGTACAAAAGCAAAAAAGGCAATGATAGGATATAATCCGATTAGTTCTCGATTGATTTCAGTCAGATTTAATGCAACACCATTTAAAATCACAGTAATCCATGTGTATGCGCTAACATCAGCATCATCAGAGGACGAAATCGAAGCATTCTATGAAAATATCGAAAAGGAACTATCACGAACTTCAAAAAAGGACCTAATAATAATAACTGGAGATTGGAACGCCAAAGTCGGCAGTGACAACACTAACTGGGAGAACACCATGGGTAAATATGGTTACGGAGACAGAAATGAACGAGGCGAACGAATTCTCGAGTTCGCAGCATTACACAATTTCTACATATGTAACACTAGATTCCAACAGAAACCAAACAGGAAATGGACTTGGATATCACCAAATGGTGTACATAAAAACATGATTGACCTAATATTGATTCAAAAACGATGGAAATCATCGGTCATGAACTGTCGAACATTTCAAAGTGCAGATATAAGTTCCGATCACTCACTTGTACTCTGTAACATCAAACTAAGACTAAAACAAAGACAAATCAAACCACAACAGAATCATAGATTCGAGATAAATCAGTTAAAAAACCAGGCAACAAAGAAATTATATCAAGAGAAACTGAATGCCAATCTACAAAGAATCATTGAAACGGACAGTATTGACGAACATGCCACAAAGATCGAGAGGGCGATCGAAGAGGCACTGCAAACGACTATAACAACAACTAAGAGAGCCAAAAATCCATGGATCTCGGAGCAAACGCTTAATTTAGCAGACGAAAAACGTAGAGTAAAACAAATAAAGAGTATTTCGACACAAAATGCAAAGTTATACAAAGACTTGTGCAACAGAGTGCGAAAATCGGCACGTCAAGATAAAGAGAAATGGATTCGAGATAAGTGCGATGAAATTGAAAAAGGTCTAAATGTTGGAAACACCAGACAAGCGTATAGTCTGATAAAAACATTGAAAAAGAAGTTCGTACCAAGAACAACCGCAATAAAAAATGAAGACGGTACGATGGCACAGTCGAAGGACAACGTAAAAGAAAGATGGACACAATATTGTAGTGATTTATATAAAGACGACGGAGGTGGAGACGAGATAGTCAGAGAGCTGGAAAACATCTCACCTTCATATCAGGATGACTCACAAGACATCCTATACTCAGAAGTGAATCAAGCGATACAAACACTAAAGAGCAATAAAAGTCCAGGTTCAGACGGAATTACGGCTGAAATGATCCAAGCAGGTGGTGAACAGCTGATACATCAGATTCATGCACTATGTAACAAAGCATGGAATCAAGGTGCCATACCAAAAGAATGGGGAAAATCAATTCTAGTACCCATTCCAAAAAAGGGAGACCTTAATGAATGTTCAAACTACAGAACAATTTCTCTTATCAATCATACGAGCAAGATCCTATTGATAATATTGTTGAATAGGCTAAAATATCGTCTAGATCCATACTTAGCAGAAGAACAAGCAGGATTTAGAAAAGATAGAAGTACAGTTCAACAAATTCTAACATTACGCCTACTTGCCGAAAAAGCAAAAAGACAGGGGATTAAAATATATAATTGTTTTATTGATTTCCGAAAGGCCTTTGACACCATCAAGCATAATATCATATGGGCCGTTTTGAAATCATACGGAATTGGAAACAAAATACTAGCGTTGCTACAAAACATATACGAACAGGCACAATCAGCAGTTCGAGTAGATAAACAAATTGGGGAATGGTTCCACACGAGTGTGGGAACCAGACAAGGAGATCCGTTATCACCACTACTGTTCATTACATATCTTGAAAGAGTTATGGATAAAGCGATACAAACCGATAGTGGAATAAGTATCAGTGGAACACTAGTAAACAATCTCCGGTTTGCAGATGATATTAACATGATCCAGGAAGATCGAAATATGCTTCTCAAACAAACAGAACGCCTACAAACAGTAGCCACACAGGCAGGTCTAACCATTAACACAGGAAAGACAAAAACACTCGTATTTGGCGGTCCGAATATCGAACAACCGATACAAATATCAGGAAACGTAATAGAGAACGTAGAACAATTCGAATATCTTGGCAGTTTACTCACGTGGGATAATAACTGCACTGAGGAAATCAAAAGGAGAATAGGCAAAGCAATCGGAGCGTTGGTCTCGTTGAAACATATATGGAAAAGCAAGAAAATAACAATCAAAAGCAAAATAAAAATTCTAACTACGTGCGTGTTCAGTGTATTGTTGTATGCCTCAGAGACCTGGACATTAAAAGAAGCCGACAGAAAGAAATTGCTCGCATTCGAAATGAAATGCTACCGACGCCTACTTCAAGTCAGTTGGCAAGACATGATAAGAAATGTCGATATAAGAAAACAAATAGAAAGACAGGAAACAATAATAGATAGCATTAAAAGACGAAAGCTTCGGTTGTTCGGTCACATCTGTCGAATGGACGACAACCGACTAATAAAACAAATTGTGTTCTCACGAATGAACGGCAAGTCGAAAAGGGGACGTCCATGTAGAGAATGGCTGGACGATATATTAGAATGGTGCGGACGCAGCGGACAGGACCTGTTCCACCTGGCACAAGATCGGAGACAATGGAAAAACATTATCCGATCAGTGGTTGGCCCCAACGGGTGATAAACCCATGGGACATCGTGAATCGTGAATCGTGAATGTTAAAATCGGCTATCCCCTGACGTTGAAATGCCTAAATTAGACATATCAACCATTTAGAATAAGCTCAAAAGTTTTCGCTGACCGAATGGAAGCATTTATTTATACATTTCGTGTGTCTTAACTTTTTACAATGCAATAGAGAAATTATAATCATTGTCTTTGCTAGATTCTTATCAATCTTCTTGATCGTAGCATCTAGATTCTCTGGCAGAGCAGAATGTGGAAGATTAAATTGAACGAACATCAACAATAGCACTGCCATGAAGTTTTATATATTTCTTATTTCTTTGTTTTTTATTTTCAGATCTCATTAATCGTATCATACGCGTTCATTCATCATGACTTCGGAATTCACTATGGTGTCAAACCGCTTGTACCGAATGCAATTGAGGGACAATAATCATCGAGTAGTACTTTTTGAGTTCATAGACTCACTATAGGCTGCCGACATAGATATAACAATCCGAAATATTTTTGGTATCAGAAAGTGGCAAGATTATGCCATAAGTTATGTTGACAAGTGCACTGGGGAAAATATTTACTTTTGGACGAGTGGTCAATGACTTGCTAAATATGTAATGCTGGGAATCGAAGCGTTCGACTTAACCATTCATCCATCTGTATCTCAGATATCTGCTGGTAATTTGGACACAACATTTATCTTTTCTTTGAAATTTCAGATAAGAAGAGCAGCAGCATGTCGGTGGTTGGAAAAATATCTTCTTTCTATCATCCGAAAGATTTATGCAATTGAGAAATGGCGAATTCTCAGGATTCGAAATCACTAGGAGTACGAAGAATCCCCGGCATACTATGAGAATCCTGGGGATTTTGACAGTACGTAATATAGATGCATCATATGAACTAGGAATATAAATCTTATTACTCATACAAGAACAAACACGATTTCATTTGCTTAGAGTTTTGAACAGAGGGTGTGTCTAGGTGTGAGAGTAGATATTATCTACTATTCATCCACACCCACACTCTCAAGTTAAGCATCCTTTTGAATGTCTATCTTCTATCATTTTCTAGGCTCTAGTAGAAATAAGTTTGACAATCTTCGTATCTATTCTCTGTTTTAGCATCACATGTATCAAAAGATCAAAGCATCACGAAAAACAAAACCACCAATCAACGACAGTCAGAACCAATGCAAACTATCGATGATAGAATTATGCATAGCACCAGTGGATCTGGTAAGTGAATTGAGAAATTAGTAAGAGGAAAGAGTTTCGATTTCATGTCAGTATAAGAGATAGTTTTAACAAGAAATAAAAATCAAGTTGAATCTCTGTTTCACTCAAAGACTAATCAACACATGGAGCTCAAAGAAGAAAACAAATGCTCCATGTAAGACGATATAAAACTCGACGGAGTCTGCTTGTCGCTTACCGATACTATTTACTTTACAAAAAGAACAGATTGCAGAAAGAAATATGCTATAACCGTAAAACTGCATTTTAGGGACAAAAAATTCATTTAGAAAAAAGGAACAAACAAATATAATTCTATGCAGACTCCGAATCTCTAAAGAACTTCTGATTGTTGATTCCCACATGTAGCTTTTTTAACTAGAATACCCATGAGATGATTGTCGTCGTTTGGTGAAATAATGCTATAGGAGTTCTATCTATCAACTTAGTATCTCGAGATCGATCCAACCGAAGAGGAGATGTAACACATTTGCCAATATTTCTAAATTTCTATTGTTTGCTCATCAAAGTCGAGAAATTTTCTTCACTTCGTCGCCAACAATATTGTTACACTCAAAAAAACCGAAAAAGTCGACTGTATAATTAACACATCTGTGGTACTCCTTTCAGTATTGGTTGACTTGAGTTAGCACTGCAGTATTTATCTACGAATCTAGTATTCAACTTTGACTAGAACTTCTTCATTTGCAATAATATTTTTTTTGTTCATCGGATTTTCTCTATGTGAGCTTGTTTTCCTAGACGACTCAGATAAAACTTGTAGTCGTGAATGTCTCCTGGTGAAAAGTTCTCCTTGGTTCTCTTCATTCAATGACTTCGCAGCCAGAACATGGAACTGGATCACAAAAACGAATACAAAACAACATATGATGCATCAAAAATCTGAGTAATCAACATGGTAAAGTACTATTCGATGTTGTGCTTGAGATATGTCACATATTTGCCACTGCTGGTTGACATGTCTTCTCAATAGAGTCCGTCAAGTTCAAAAATTCAGACTTGAATCTGATTTATTAAGCATCTTTGAAGCCCACATCTTATTGATTAAAATGTTTTGCACTTCGATCTTAAACACACCCTTGATATTTCTATGGAAAAGCTTTTTAGATTTGAACCTGATGGTTACTTTGCAAATAGAAATATGCTCAGTTTGTTTATTTGTATCGATGACTAGCACATTCGATGCCTATCTGAGATAATCTTCGGGATGATCTAGTAATAATCCAGTTTTAATTAAATTTTGCTTTTGACTAAATTCATAAAATCCAAAGTTTTTGGATCTAAATTCGATTAAAGTAGAATTTAGGATCCAGGTTCAGTCTATCCAACGGGCTCTATTTCTCACACTAAAAATTTATGTTGTATGACATGTAGCAACAACAATACTGTCACGGACTCTGACTCAAGCATAAATGATTTGCATATAACATTGTATTCCTTTATTTCATTTCGAATCACTTTTGATTGTTTTAAACTGTGGAGTGCAGGTGTTTTAACCATTAGATGGACCAATTTGAAGACTATTAGTTTGCGTGAAATTTATTCTTTTTCAGACTCATGAGTTTTTTCGCAATGATTTCCCATTAAATGACATTGATATGTAGTGTTAGTCTCTCAATATTTCTAGTGAATAGAACGGTTCACAATAAATGTAGATTTCATTCAACATTCGAGGTCATCCTGAAAAGAATGGATCTACATCAAAAAGAATAAATTTCGTCTGAGCTAATATTCTTCAAATTGCTCTATTTAATGACTAAAATCCAAACACTCTAATTTAAAACAATCAAAAGCTACTAAAAAAAACTAGTGGAGCACATTATATTTTTAAAATGAATGATACAAATATGAAACAGTTTCATCATTGATAAAATTACATAAACCCATTGCTTTCATGCAATCGTCAATAAAATAGGCAATGAAAACAATCGTATAAACGATTTACTGTTCGTTGATTGTTTCGAGCAAGAGAAATGTTCATCGAATTCACGGTTATAATAACGATAAGTATAATAAAAATTTGTGGAAATATTGTGATAAAGGTCTTCTTGATACAACGCTGTTCTTGAAAACTACTGGGCCGAGATATATTCAGATCTTTATTGATTTTGAATACACAGACTTCTTATGGATTAGATAGATCGAGTCCTTGTTTTTTATTTGATAACATAAAACATTTCTTACAGATGATGTTTTTTAGGTCATACTATTTCTGTATGTATCAATAATCAATTAATTGCATCGAGAAGACAAATGACTTGTCATGAACTTCGTCACAAATATCATTATCATACACATGTTTATTTCGATTTAATCAATACATGATCATCCTTTTCAAGAACAATGCCTTATTTGTTAATTTAGTCATTCAAACTATTTCCCCGTCAATAATGACTAAATTGTCAATAATTTGCTATCACTACTGCTATGTTCGACCACAACATAGTACTATTGAAAAATATCGAATCGTCCCTCTAATTACTATGAAATATTATCATCACTGTGTTGTTGCTATTGACAATGATTGTCGAGTATTGTTCTCTATTTTTGTGTTGCTCAATGCGTTCATCATCGATTATAAAAGATTGTTTCTATATCATGCAAAAATATCTATCAATAAATGATTGCTGATAATAGAAGAAGTCAACAATACGAACGCGAATCAATACTAAACAATTGTTTAGTTCATTGGAAATATCCAAATAACTCTCAACGTAGAACAAAGCAAATATATGAATATATTTTATGGAGATATATCATCAGTTCGGTAGTGTTCTACTGAAAATACATTTTCTTTCTTATTTCGATATTTTTTCGTTGTGTTTATAAATGAAATAAATAAAAAAATACCTCTCTATTCTATTCTAAAGAGTTTTCTGCATTAATCTTATAATTGTGGTCCCAGGCCATTATTGACCAGTCGGATTTTGTCGGACGAGCTTAAAGTCTGGCACCACATGATGATCGAACTCAGTCGGTTATTTTTTGGTAAATTCTGATTATAATCTCCATTTGCCTTTGAAATCTTGTTACCGGATTCTCTGATAACTGATCAGATCTACTATGTCGGAAACGATCAGGTCCGATAATAAGATCTGCCCGTATGCGGCGTAATCCGAGAATATCCAATAGCAGCACTTTACCGAAATCTATCTTGCTTCCTGACGATCGATTTCCTGATAGATCCAGTTTAATATCTGTAACGAATAATAAGATCTCGGTTCGGGTCTGTTCGCACTGGCAAATTGGGTAGAGTGAAATAGCTTATCGCCACTCACGGCATTGATGTTTATTTGCTACTTCGTGTATCCAGAGTGTAACAACTACATACATAATACACGTATATATAAGAGAGAGATATATTAGAACAATGGAAAGAGAAGGAGAGAGAATCATTGAAGTGTGCCATCAATATCGGCACACCATACATCATAGATTTTAACAGAATGAATTTACTCATTGTCTTTTCTATATGGATAAACGAAGGCGATCGTTTGTATGTTTTCTTATAGAAGATGATATTGTTCGACTCATAATAGGTCGGCTCGGGAGTAGATATAACAGAAAGCGATTTTCGATCTTCGAAAATGGAAAAGAGACATTTCGCACCAACTTTTTATTACGATTTCCCGACATATAAAAACGTACATGATCTTCGGAATGACAAATTTAAAACAAGTAGGGTGTTCGGAATGAAAGTTGTCCAATAGGCCGTAACGGACAGCAGTATTTTGTTTTGAAAAAAAAACCCTGAAATCTGCGTGGAGTTTGGGATGAAAATGACCGGAAAATCGTAACAATGAAAACATGAAGATCGCAATGAAAGGAGGCAGAATGTTGGTCACTATGTTCATGTGTACACTTTTTTGAGAGATTTCAAATGACTCAGTAGCTTGTATATAAAGATAATCAACAGAACAACGTTCTGATGAACACAATAAATCTTTTTCAGCACAGAAAAAAGAACTTAGATGGAGACAGAGAAAGACAAAAGAAATAGGATAAACAATCGAACACAGAACAAAATCATAAAAAAGAACAGAAAAATTTATTTTTAATGTCAGTAAAAAATAGGGATTTCTATCATAAGAAAAAGAACGAGATCCGCAAAGAAACTGAATGCTATTTTTTCATCTGTTTATTTGTTGTACCGCGATTTTTAGCTTTTATTGTTCTACCATTTATTGATTTCTTTCCTTTCTCTTCCTTCGTGAATTAATCGTCGAACCAATAACATTTGAAAGCGGAGATTTTATTTTTAATTATATAATTACTAGTATTTCCATTCTCCTTAATATAGCGCACTCTATAAGTATTATGATATACTTACGATCTCCAGGTAAAATGAGTTTACGGACACCCATAGCCATTTTCGTTCCGATTTCCTGACAGTATTTTATATATTGTCGACCATTTCATTCCGATTTCCCTGTATTTGTTTTAATTATGACATCGTGACCAACATGTGTTACGTACTCTCGGTAAACATTTTTAAAGGCAAAAATCAATTCCGAACATCTGAACGGATAACCGGGTATCCGGAACACCTAGTACGAAATGTCTTCATTCCTCGAAAATGAGTTCAATGTGTTTTCTTGAGAAATAACATAACAAAGTGGAATACAACTGTTCAATTCACTCAATCTCTAAGAAGATCTGAAAAGAATTATTGACCACGACGAGAATTTTCCACAATCACCTAGTAATACTCTCTATCACAAGTAAAAAAATGAAAAAAAGGTCGTCAGTCAACTGCGGTTCAATCAGTTTTAAACTAGTCTAAACTTAGCTATGGGTACCCAAAGTTGGGTATTCGAACTGAACGTACGCTGTCAACTGAGCTTGAGTACAATTCAAGAGAGGTGATTACTCCTACAATAATAAATTGAGCGGTTGAATGAGAGACTTTGATACATCACTAGAAACTTTCGGCGAACATTTAATGCTCGAATATATGGATTCATGGTGGGTGAGCGAGTGAAAGAATTCAAGGGCTATACACCCACACACACCACAATGCAATTAAAACAAATAGAAGATCCCACGATGGGAACAACGTAACTCAAATTAACATAATGGAAGAGTCGGCATTTTCTATTTTAAGAAGGGAAGAGTTTCTGAGAATAATAATATTGACTCAAAAATGTCAATTTGATCAAGATTGAGGCTCCTTGTCCTAGCTAAGCAACCATTAATTCAACAGTTTTATTGGAAAGCTGATTTTCACAAATTTCAACGAAAAACATCTTATCCTATATCGATATGACACCTGAAAATAAAACCTCCTGTTGAATGTTATCATGCAATAGTGAATAGGCTTCTCAGTAGGACTAGAAACGCACTCTAATTTCTAAAATCATCGTTGAGATAAGTGAAAAAAATAGACGTGTGAACAGCCTACGTTGATCACCAAAATTTCTTCATAGACTGACTAGTTGCAACGCTAGATAGCCGTTGTATTCCTAGTTCTGTCATATCCAATAACTCGGTAACTCGTGAGAGTTCTATGTATCACACTATTTCACATCCTTTTATAAGTTGTTTCAAATCGCAAGACATTGACCAACAAGACGATGATATAATCCACAAAATTGGACTCAACCAGTTATGCAATCATTATTTCATCTAGAATGTGTAAATAGCGGCTACGCATATTTTGTTGAGAAAAAAAACTTGTCTAATGATATTATAGTAATAAATAAAAATAATATATGAGCCTATGTCAACAGAGGAAAAATAGATTCTATACTCTGATAATATTTCATCCATGTTTTTATTCGAAAATAATAATATTTAACCGTGTCTCTTGAAAACTATTCATATCAAATGAAGCTTTGCTATGCTACACGGGACATAACAAGCAGGAGTTTTGCGCAGATTCGCTAATTCCTTATAAAAAGTTGTAAGAAAATTCTTTCTGTCTAGTCTAATAGAGAACTGCAGTTTTCAACGTCAGAAAACAGAGATAAAGATGCATCGGGCGGAGGTGTTAGATGCGGAACATATTTAACTACACCCACATCCTTGCATCTATAATTTTTTCGCCGCTTGTCATTTTTCTGTATAAAAAAAAATATTGAGTACATTTTTTTATTCTCTTATATATTTTGTGGCTCATTACACTGAAGAATACAACCAAAAAAATAGTTAGCTTTTCATGCGTTAAGCAGATGGATTTCGTGCGAGTTGTTTCTTTGCCATATAAATACAAAACTAAAACAAAGCAAATAGGACATTAAGATATTTCATATATAGTTTTATAGCAAACTTCATCAAATAAAATATATCCACCATGATTAGTATCAATACGATTAAATTCTTCTCTTAGATGATTTTCAGGTATATTCGATTGACCAACAAGTTTATATCCTTTTTTAAATTCAATAAAACTTATTCTTTTATCTTTATTTTTATCTAGTTGTCCAAACAGATCACTTAATCGATTATAATAATATAATAAATCAATTAAGCGCTGAAATTCTTTAAGTTCAATAAATCCAGACTAGAAATAAATGAAAAAGTCCTATGCAAAAGTTACATAACAATACAGATATACATACTCCATCCCAATCAGCTGCTTTATAGGCCCGAATCATAGCTTGACGATTAGTACCAAATTCAGGATACCAATGAATTACTGCTCGATCAATTTCAGCCAATGATAAAATTCCATTACCATTATCAAATCGTTGAAATAACTATATCAAAGAGAAAATTCTTAATATTTTATTTAAAAACAGAATATTTCGTTACGAATTTGAAAATAGAAATCAAACGTAACATATACCTTTTTACACTCGTCTTTAGTTAATTGTGTAGCCATCACTGTTATTTGATAAGACGAAGTCTTTTAGCCTTAAAAAATTATGTCAATACAAAATAAGCATAAAGCAGTTTCGTTTTCTCCTTACTTTTTCTTCCCTTCTTCTCCTTTTTCTAGTCAGAGAAAAAAATGTGAAAAAAGTTCGTTTTCGTGTTTTGAAGGTGAAAATTAAAGAAATCGACGCTTGAAAACTTGTCTACTCGACAGATAAAAGAGTTAACCGCACAAGTAACACGGTAAAATAAAGATGAATCTGAATTCTTTATTTTCCAATGATTTTATTTCGATCTACTTCATAATTATTATCAACAATTATCATTTGATATCAAACTATTTTCTCTCAAACTCTTTCGGCATTGTATATTCTAGTGAAAAATCTTCCACGGATTGTCTTGATGATCGTTTGAATCAACTTCATACATTCTATGTGAATATCTTTGATGTGACTCGTTTAAGATAACCAATAACTAAATATAAGATCATTTATTTATATAAAACTATTTTTTATTGGAATGAATAAATTAAATCTTTTATTCTGTTCTTTTTTGGGAAAAACTCTCTTATTTAAAATGCTTTTCTCTAACTCCGGATAGAGTTGATATATTGATGCCTTCTGGCGATAAATCTGTTATATCACTTCGAGATCGAATGTTGAATTTAGAAAAGCTTGTTTTAAATTTTGTCGTTTTCAGTTATAATTCATTTATTAATAGTAATCAATTGACAATGAACATTAGCAACTATCTACCACAATTACAAAGTCTAATATTCGTCCAATTATTAGAATTGATAATCAAACTGTTTCGTGTGTTAATTATTTTCCATATCAAAATCAAGGTCAATGTCATATTTATTCTTATCCGTTCACGTTCACAATGAGACTTCTCTTTTGAACATGAATTATTTCTTCGGATTGCTCAATCATTTTCATTTATAAATAAATTCACATCCGCATAATGTTATTCATTGCATTTGAACAAACTCCAATTCGATATTTTTATTCTATCCATTCTGCATTTTTTACATTCGATAGACATTTAATTTGAAAGTTGATTTTCCTTCTCATCGAAATATACTATATATGTGGCATCAAATTTTGTCAAAATAATTAAAAATTCTATTTAAAAGCTTCATTAATATTTTTGTTTTAAAATACGTTTACGAATATTGAACATACTTATAATTTTGTCGAGCTTACATACACAAATATTTAAGTTATTTATGTTAGTGAGGTATTCTTTCAATTTCAAGTATTTAGTTTACATATGTAGAGTGTGGGTAATGTGTTTGAAAAAGAAGGTCCACATTCCCCATAAAGAAAGAAGTGATTAAACAAGGAATCATAGCTGACAACTGACAATCTAAACAAACGTTACAGAGACAAAGATCTCTCTAAAATATCTTTTGAACAAGAAGCGAAAAGGCTCGAAGTAGTGTGCAAATATTACACCGAAAATTGGTTTTTCATAACCAAATCTACGATATCGTTTTCTACGAAACCTATAAAGAGTAATAATAGCACTGCCAATACCACCAATAGTAACACCAGCGGCAGCACCCATAGCAGCACCAGCAGCAGCACCAACAGTGGTACCAGCAGCAGCACCAGCAGCAGCAGCAGCAGCAGTGGCAATACCACAAGGACCTAAAATAATACCAGCAGCGCCACCAGCAACAGCACCAGCAGCAGCACCGGCACCAGCACCCAGAGCACCAACGGAAGCAGCACCGAGACCACCACCGATAATAGTAGCACGGAGAAGGCTAGAATTAGGAGTTTTCTTGCACGGCTTAGTATGATTCTTCGGAATCTTATTCAGTTGATCTCCATGCAATGTTTCGTTCCTTTCCTGTCCGTTCTTAATTATACTGCTCTGTGGCTCTAAATTTTTCTGCTCATCATCTTCGTTGCTTTTGTGTTTAACATGCAACTCGTTCCTTACGATTTTACAGCATTTCTCTACTTTCTTAAAAACTCCTCTCTCATCTTCAACCTTTTCCCAAAATTGCTGGCATTGCCCCTTTAGACCTGTTTTCTTTTCTTTGTGTAAAGTTTCCGCCTCGACACAAGCAAACTCATGACTTTTTTCTTCTTGTGCTGCTTGTTGTTTTGTTACTTCTAATTTGAATATCATATCTTGGTATCTCTTCTCTTGAGCTTTCCTGGCAGCTTCGTATTCCTTTGTCATTTGCTTGATTTGAAGTTCAAGTGCTTGTTTGTTCTCTTCAGCCTCCAAATATTGTTTTTTCATAGCTTCTCTCAACATGCGAAGTTCGCTGCATCGTACGATAATATCAGCTTGCAATTTTTGCTCTTTTTCATGGTGCTCTGCGATGAAATGAATTAGTCGATCACGTGTTGCACTAAACTTCTCATTATCTTCAGAATTCAAAGTATCGAGGTAAAACATGTCTTCCAATGAGATTGGAATTGGATTTAGCATTTTTGTAAGCAACACAAAAAATCTTCCTTCGTATGTTGGTGGTCGCTTGCTTGGTATATTGTTCAGAACAAATATTAAAGACTTTGACTGAAACTTGTAGGCTTCTTTGAGAGCTTTGAAGGCAATGATATCATCAGGCTGCGGTCGTCCGTCTACCGGTGTCTATAAAAAAATGACAACCGATATGGGAGATTGTTCGAAAGCTTTGACGATTTCTCTTTTGTTCCGATCGATTTCTTCTTGATGTGATTCGATCAACCCTGGAATGTTGTATATGAGAAGGTCGCTTGGTCCAGCATCAATTCGATGTGACTCTACAGTAGTTGTAACTGCTTCTCTACGACAGTCAGTTTCGAATCTCTCATAACCAATTATCATATTGCAAGTGTAACTTTTGCCCGCTCCAGAATTGTCCAAAATGATGAGACCGTACTCTGGCTTTTTGCTTGAAACAGAATTTGCTTCCATTGTCTGAAATGATCGATTTATTTGAAATCTGCAAGAAGAAGAGGAAAATAAATCAATTATAATGTTTACAACGAGAAAACATTAGAATAAACTGTTGTTTCTTCGTAAATTGGGTGTGGGTGTGGGTAGTGGTGTAACCAGGGTAGGGCATGGTTGGGCTCAGCCCAACTACCGGTCGTTTTTAAGAAAATATATTTTTTTGTAAAACTATAAATAATAAAAAAAAAGGGGCACGATTGCATTCCCTCTGATCTATTTTTTAGTTGATACTAAAACTTTTTGCATTGGAAATAAAAACTAATTTCTCCTCATTATGCAATGAAATTTAAGTTCTGAAACAGATGTTGAAAAGCTCAAAGTTAAACAGTAATAATCTCTCTGCTGAACCATTTTCGAAACAGAGAATAATTAAGAGAACCACTTTTAAATGTACATACAACGGACAAACGGGTCAGGAAAAGTGGTTGTGTTTGTATGACCATCAGGGATCCTAGTTGTGACCTAAAAATGACCTTTTCTCGCTCTTCCTTGTGCGTTTAAACGCGTTATCAGTCAAAACACGTGAAAATGCATCGCAAAAAACAAAAAGCGGTGATTTTTTCGTACTTCAGAACTCGATTTATGATCTCCTCACCGATAACGACTATGAAAAAAACGCTCACTTCTTGTCTTTTTCCGGTGCACTTACTGTACATGCATTTACAAGCTTTTTTGACTGAAAACGCGTTTACGCACACAGGAAAAGCGAAGAATGATCATTTTTCGCTTAAAAGCGTCCGCACATAATACAATGTCGAATACTTGTAGAGTGATTTACTCGTTTTAGAGGTAAAAAACGATTTCAACATTAATTTCGAAAAGCTACTGGAGAATTTTGCTGACTTCCACGAAAATAGTAAATTCTTTTATAGTAAAACCTTGTAAATCATAATTTGTGATTTTTTAAATCCATTTAATAAGCAAACGAAACATCATTGAAAAAACGTTTTTCAAGTTGAATACATTATTGTATTCTTATTCTATGAAAAGAAAGTCATGCGTCATCAAACATAACTTTGTGGAAAAACGTTAGAGCTCAGCCCAACCACCTGATAAATCCTGGTTACGCCACTAGGTGTGGATATACACTTTAAAAAAACCTTAGAATAATAAACCCTTTCGAAAACCCTTCAAAAGGGTATATAGAAGGGTTTAGTAAGATACTAAACCATTTCAAATACTCTTCTAACGGGTTCCGGGAAACTTCCTTTTAGCCAAAAATCATGTTCAGTTTGATGAGCCATTAAAGCAAATATATCTGCGAAAAATTAAAAACATTATTTTTTTAAATAATAATTACCTACAATTTCAAATCTGCTTTTTCACTGAAAAAAAATAAAAATAAGAACTATTCAATGAAAAGTTATAGTTACTTGTTATTGCGATTTCGAATTTTGAACTAAAACAATAAAAATAAGAATTGTTTAATAAAAAAATTATACTTATGTTTGCTTTTGAAGTTGTTGCTTTACTAAAAAAATAAAAATATGAATCATTGAAAGAAAAATTATAGTTACGCTTGATTTTGAATTTTAAATTGGCTAAAAGAAAAAAAAGAATAATTCAAATACGAAAATCGATAGTATGGCTCATCGTGGATTACAAGAAAAAGCAAACTATATCAATTTTGTACAAGTCAAAAAACATCAAGTGAAATTTTATCGTCTGATTAGTTTCCTTTTCCAGTTTATTGTTTAGACTTTTTCTTATTCTTCTTCTCTTGTGTAACCAATTATCTTGTGTAAATAATTATAGGATTTCTTACCGATTTTATCGTCACAATATGTATACATTTAACTGTACTTCGAAAAAATTAACCGTTTCTCTTGATGATATTGTATATATCTATTCAACGTGCAAAAATAATGTGTTTAATTGTGGCGATTAAATTGAATTTTGGTCAAAATGCGCCAGCTGCCTGTTATCACTTTTACGAAGTACATTCAACGTATTAATAATGTTTCAGTAACAATCTGTTTGTTTTGATAGAAAACATTCATCAAAATCTGCAATCACTCATAGTGAAGTAATTAGTATTTTATTTTGCATGCCTAATTTTTTTCTTACAGAATCATATCATCAATAGTAAAAAACCGCTGATTATATATTTTCAGATTTTTAATAATGTGATAATTTCGTTCGATTAGCTCATAAAGTAGCTGTTAATGTTTCGAAGTAGACTAAGTTCTACCAGAATAGTATTCATCGGTACTCTCATTATTTTAACATGTTGTCTTTCAGGTTTGAAACAATCCAAGCATATCAAACTTAAATCTACTGTCGAACAAATCAACTTTAACTGAAAATCATGGAGAATAATCAGAGTTGGGTCAACTTAATGAACATCAATTATTTGATGCTCAACTTGACTTTTGAAAAACCGATGCAACTGGAAAATGGACATATTTTTATTCAGCCTATTTTTCTACGTTCGTTAAAGCAATTGAAACAAATAAAAGCATACCTTTATTTAATGGCAATATAACACCGTGTTCTACACGAACAAGTCGCTGTACCGTCGGATCAGATATGGATATGGACATTAATGATCTTGACATTTGCTAACCCAGGTTGAACATTCCGGCCACCGGGTCTCGTAGGATACTCCAGGAAACATGCATGAAAGTCACCATATCCTGTAGGAAAACACGGGAAATCGCTGGAACATGGAAGCAGTATTCCGGTCAAAAATACGGCCGGACTTTTCCGGCGGATTCCTGTCAAGTTCCGGCGCTTTTCGGCAGGAACTGATCGGAAATCACCGGGAAAATTTGGAAAATTTTCCAACCGGAATACTGCTTCCACAAAATCCACGGAACTACGCGGAACCGGCCGTTTCCAGGCCGGACTCTTCGACCTGGGAACTGAATCTTTTGTTAAAATATTTTTTTCATTTTCCATGTTTCTTGAGATTGCGAGTATTGATTGTTTACATTCGCGCCCACACCTTACCACATGCTCATATCAGATTTATAATAAAATGTTTTAGTCAGATAGCTATTAAATCTTACACTACGTATAATGTAAATATATGATGAATAGACATTTTATATACGATGTTGAACACGTTCACGTAAGCCGATGTCTGTTGAATTATTACTAAGTATAAGTGTACCATACCATTCCAATGCATGCAATTCTTCATATGAATGAGTCCAATTATAGGAATATTAAACATCTAACTTCATTGTTTCAAAAAAAAAGTTTTTACACATTCAATAAGTAACACAGAATTTCTCAATTTATAGAATAAATAAATCAAAGATTACTGATTATGTATTTTCTCTATTTATACTTCCATTATTCATTAAACTTATTAGATCAAATTTACTGAAGAACTATAGCAGAATAGTGTTCGCGTTGACCTCTGACAGACGCATTTTTCAACAAAGCATAAACAATGTTTGATGAAATATGTTCGCATTAATTCATCGAATTGGAAATCGAGATCTCTAGTGTTTCTCCCTAGAGTTTAACACGTATCTTTCCTTGGGTAATTTTTTTATATAAAGAAACAGAATTCTCATCACATTCTATCGTGTCTCATTGATACCATTATTTGATTGAACTGTCTTTCGTATTTCATGTCATAGCAATGACTGCTTCTATTTGAATGAAATAAGTCTTTTTTAAGTGTTTTCTACCTCTCAAAAACAATACATATCATAATTTACTTGAGATTTACATACAAATTTAAATCTAAACTAAATCACATAAAAAGCAGACATTATGCTTAAGTGAGTATACATAATAAATGCACACGATTACATACAACGCCCTGATATTCAAAAAATCTTTCAAACATTTTCTGTTAACTTCTTATTAATGTTCAGTATTCTTTTGTATTTTTCTCAGGTTGTCTGTAAATTTAAAACAAAAGAAAAATATCTATCAATGACACTCACCGAAGGTCTTGCATTGACACAAGCCATTCTAACTCGTTACATCTTAACATTATGCATGATATTAGGTATTATTGGTTCTCTCTTCAATCTCATTGTCTTTCGTCAAAAGAAGTTTCAATCAAATTCATGTTCAGTTTATTTTATGGCAACATCTATTTTTAATCTATTGGTAATTATATGTGGTATTACACCGGAAGTTCTAAAATATTATATAAATTATGATTTAGCGTCACATTCATCAACATTTTGTAAAACTAAATCCTATCTAGTACATAGTCTCTTAATGATGTCTCGTTCCAGTGTTGCCTTAGCTTGTATTGATCGGTTTGCTTTATGTTCACGTACTGTTCGTATTCGTAGTTTAAATCAACGTCGAATAGCTACATCATTAGTTGTTATCATATGTATTGTATGGATAATTGTACCAATACATATTCTTGTCTACGTGGATATCCAAATGCCTAGACAACATTGTAGTGGTTCAGGTATCTATCTCTTCATCTATAGTATTTATGCAGTCATTGTCACTGGAACTCCATTGGTTATAATGATTATATTTTCATTTTTTGTTATTCGAAGTCTTCGATTAACTACGACACGAATTCGTCTAAGTAGAGTCAACAGCAATTCAAATACTAAAAGACAATTAAGAATGCAAAAACGAGACATTCAATTGATTACTATTTTAATAAGTGAAGTTATTGTCTATTATTTATCAACAATATGGTATCCAATATATTCAATTTATATGACAATTACAGCAGATATTGCGAAGACAACAAATCGTTTTGCAATTGAAGGATTTATCCGATATTTATCATTGAGCTTTTTCATTTTTCTCAATTCATGTTCACTATTCTATGTTAATCTTTTAGCTTCAAAAGCATTTCGTGCAGAATGTAAGCGATTAGTTGTACGTTGGTGGAAACTTGATCAAAATATTATAACAACAACAGGCATGTCGGAAAATACTGGACAACAATTTATTCGCATGCAGAAATTTCAAACAGCACAAAGTACGTCGAGTAATAATCAATACCATTAATCGACGCTTCGAATAATTATTTTTCTTGACTATTTGTGTACATATTATATGTTGTTCGATGTTGTTGTTGTAAAATTAATAAATTTAACATAGTAGGTTTACTTCTCATGAAAATCTTCTAAAAATAGTTTATTTTCAACTTAAAAATTTTTCCTCGATTCTTCTCGACATCTATCACTAATTTTTGTATAGGTATAAATGCCAATAAAAATTTTATCTATTCGTTCGTTCGTTCTTTTTACGTTACTGCTGGTTTTTCTTCCTATTTACTTATGCTGCATTCAAAGGAATAGTTTAATAAAATAGTTTTGAGAAAAAATTTATTTCATTAGATAACAATATTGAACATGGTTTAAGCCGTATTGAATAGAGAATATAGAATTTCCTCTTAAATTTTTCATAATTTAATTAGCCAAATAAATTATATGTCTTCTCTTGTTTAGGACACATTCAGGAAATGAGTCGTGATGTTCAATTAGTTACAGCAACTTACTTTTAAAATAGACTCTGAATTTATATCAATTCTCTTAATAAAACTTCTTCGAAAAGAAGAAGAAAAAAAACATTTGAGTAATATTAGTTACTGTAAAATTTACATTTATGCTAAAGTAATTATATTTTTATTAAACAGAACCGATCACATAGGAAATGACATATGGAATTATCAAGGGCAAATTTTATGTATTTATTTTTATAGGAGCATACTGTTAATTATTCAGACTAGATAATATATCAATTTAAAATTATCTATGCATGTATATATATATAGCTTTGTACTTGTGTTGAATTTCAGATTGTCATGCACGATATTTGGTCACGTATTAATGTTGAATATGAAGGTTATACTAAGCCAGATACATTGTGCATTGTACATATTCTATGAGACAAAATCAATATTGATGTCTATTGTTTTGTTTCTCCTCATAGTAACACTACATCCAATAGAAGATTTAAGATAAAACAAAAGAAATTAAAATGATGATTGATAGTAAATTTGTTGATATTTCTACAAGAAGACTTAAAATCAGTGTGAGCAAAACTCCGTATCTGTATTGACGCCATTCTAACTATAATGCTTTCTTGTTAGTTAATTTTTTCATAAAATTATCTTTAGGATTACATTTTATTATAGATTTACAAAAAAAAATAATTCTATTTGGAATGGCATCCAAAGAGACTCGAACCAAATCATCAGAATTATCACAACCACAAAGTCATAGGTAAATCTAATTCTATGGTGTGCTCGATAAGAAAGTTACGGAGAGTTTTCAGTCGTTCATAATAAGTTTACTAGCCTAACGATTTATAAAGATTAATAAAAGCACCTAAATCAATGAGATGCTTATTGTATCTAAGTTTGAGAACTTTTCTTTAGCTGTTGTATATTCGTAGATGGATTCTTTTCAAATTGCTTCGATCTTTTCTAACATATATTTTTCGTGCTATATTTACTGGTGAATCTTCTCCAACGTGAGAATTCATTCAAATATACTTCAGTGAAATTTTATTTTTGTTTTCATCTAGACTCGACAGACAAACTAGTCAAGGATCAAATACAAATCAACTAAATTTACCATGGAAAGATAATTTTGACTTGATAAAATATCTACAGCAGTAAGTCAAGAGAAAAATACGTATAGAAACAATAATATATTGTATTCAGAAATCAGGAAACATTGAAGCAAAATTATGGTTATGGCCAAAGTAAAAAGCTTCGCTGTCCTCAGTATTATTTTATCAATGAAAATAAATCAATATTGATCATATTACAAGGTGATATTACGAGAACAAAAGTCGATGCTATTGTTAATGGTTTGTTAGTGATGTTGAAAGAGAGAGTTTATTTTCATTTTATTTCATTTCTAATAGCTGCTAATGAACATATGACGGGTGGTGGAGGAGTTGATGGAGTAATTCATCGAGCTGCTGGATCTGAACTTTATGAAGCATGCGTAGCTCATAAAAAAGTCAGAGATAGTGTTCGCTTACCAACTGGTCATTCACGTATTTTGCTTAGTTACAATATGTCATCAACAACTTCTTATATTATTAACACAGCTGGTCCTATATACGATCGATACAGAGCACAAGAATGTGCGAGTGAATTAACATCATGCTATAAAACAGCACTTGCTCTGGCTAATTTGTACGATCTCCAATCAATTGGTTTTACGGCTATTAGTTGTGGTATATTTGGTTATGTAAGTACAACTTGTTATTATATGATTTAAGATAATGTCATGTTTTTATAGCCATCAAATAATGGTGCTGATGTTGCACTTCGAACAGTTGATAAAGAAGCCGGTGTAGTACCTGTGATTGTATTTGTCCTCTGGGACGATCATATTTATGATGCATGGGTTGACAAAGCTAAAGAACTAAAATTTACTCTTTTCGATATCATAAATCCAATGCCAGAAAGCTCATCACTACCATCAAATGATCAACCAAAATCACCAACTGTATTTAATCCGAAAGTTATAGATGCTTCAACAGAAGACGAGGTAGCCATAGCATCAAAAGACGACATTGAAGCTGACCTCAAACGTCTACCATCCGTACCTAATGATTTGCCGGATACTCAACCGGCTGACAGTATGGAACTCGATGACAATGGAACAAAAGATAATTCTTTATTACATACTCAACAATCGTATGCCATAAGAATTCCAGCATATCTGGAGATTTTATTTTTCATTCATTCATGCCTCAAATTTGTTTTAGTCTAAATATGAAAAATGCTAGTCTAGAAGAAAAAGAAACAACAAACGACAAACCTCACGATGAGCAAACAAAGTCCAATGATGATACTAATCAACCAACAGGTTGCAAAGGCGTGGACAAATCTAATGTTGAAATAGAAAACAATGAAAACGATTCCAAAAAACCTGAACTCCAAAACTAAATAAAACGAAAATTTCTTAATTCTATTGTTTTTATCATTTATCATTATTTTACATACGTATGCCAAGAGACACAAAGATTAATTACTCTTGATTTTTAAATATAATAGTATGGGTTAAAAATAATCATTTAGTTTAGTTGTTTAGATCTATTGCCACGTCTACTACTAGTACTTAAGACAAAAGATGTTTATTAACCACTGGATACTTGAAACATGGTGAGTGAATGATAGATAGATCGCTATTATCCATATGTTGATTGCTTCATTCATGTACCACATATAGACATTAAACAATAGAAAAAAAACACCCATTGTCGACTGTTAATATGTGTACATAAGGTGTAAAGTGTTCTTCAAATTTTTCTTGTTTTCACTTGAGTAATTCAAATGAGTATATAGATAGGATCTGTTAAGCTTTGAATAAGTTGATCACCATCATCATCATCATCAGCTACCCCTTGTTGTATATACAAAGGTGTGAGAATCTTTCAGACATGTAATAAAAAACGAGAATAAAACTAGCGGACGTGACTAAAAGAACATTCAATATATATATATTGAATAAAAAAAAAGGTCTCTCGATGATGAGATCATTTATTCGTCGTCCGGACAGTTGTTTGTCGGCTACAACGTCATCATCATGCTTTTATATATGAGTGATTCGCGTGCCACTTTGTTCTTTTTTCTTCTTCTTCTTCTTCTTGTCCATGTCTTTTTCTCTCCCTTGTGCGTTCGCTCTATCTCTCTGTCGTTTATTACGATGGCGATCATCACTCTCTACTGTTTCTCTTTCTCTCTCTCTCTCTCTAGTTCGTTGTCGTCCTTCTAAATGTAGAGAAGAAATAAAGATTGTATGTGTGTCGTTGTCGCTGTATAGTAGAAGAAAGCGGAAGACGCGTCAGTCTCTGCACACTTTTTAGACATTATTCATTTTCTTATAAATGTGGATTTGTTCTACTTAGTTTTACTGGTGAAACAAAGCGTAGAAAGAGAAAAAAAGACATATTAAATATTAGAATCATATGATGGCACACGGATGAATGATATTCGTCGATTATTTCTTTTAACCATTATTTTATTTTTACACATCAAGTCAGGTAATGCATGGACTTTTCTTTTTTCTTAATTGCTATTCGTGTTCAATAGAAAAAAAAACAAATCTTGATGATGGTATTCAATGACAAAAGTGTGAACGATTTGTCAAAATAGATAAATAACTATTTAGACTGATACATAGATTTCATATATATGTGCAAACGACAGCTGTCGATAGAATGAACGATGATATGCACATGCATCTTTTTTCGTCAATTGGATTTATTTAACAATACACCGTTCTACGTGACTGTCATTTATGTTTGAATGCGTGTGAACTGTTGTCCATCTGCGTTGAACATTTTTTCTTTTTCCAAATCCCACCCACTCGTTCATCTTCAGTCATGATAGACCTATTCATTCATCGTCAGTAATTAAATTGAGAAGTTCACTTGGCTTCAACGACAAACGAATTCAAACTCGAATTACTACGTCATTTTGTTTCTTATTTAAGTGATGATTAAAATTGAGCAGATGTTTGAGTGAATGAATGAGATCGATAGAGAGAGGAAGAAAGCAAGAAGCCTCTTGAGTATGAGAGAATTTCTCATGTCTTTTTGACTGTAACTATTGTCAGCCTTGAGCTTCCTATGATGATCGATTGAAACATTCGTAGAAGCTATATCAATTGTTTTGTCTTTCTCAAGTATTCTTATTTGATGAGAAAAAATTCCATATCCTGAAGTATACCCACAATAATACATCCGCCTATAGCAAACTATCTTTTCTAAAGACAAGCAATGAGGATTGATGATGATTCTAAGTGTACTGTACATGGATGTGTTTATCCATTTTTATTGTTGATGGACTTTTCTGTTCTATGACGTAATCGTGTTGGTAGAGTAAGATATTTACAGTAAAGATCTCGCATACACATTTTGTTGTTTCAATACTTAGGGGACAAGAGAGAAGACAACCTTATTGAATTTCTTGAATAAGATTATGTCTTCATTCATTTACGCTTAATATTCTCTCATTAATGTATAACAAGCGATGAGGACATAGGGAACATTGCTATACTAATCAAAGTTTAAATATTCATATAAATGAGTTCTTTATCATCGTTGACAGAATAACACGGAATGATTGAGAGGCGTACCATTGACATTGAACGCTAAGAGAGAGAAAAAAATAATAATCAGTTACAATTTACGAGTAACCTTCAAAGTATTTTATGTGCTTTACAGTTTTACTTTTATCTCTAGCTTGCTCGTTGTGCAATATGCCTACAGCATGGCGTGGCTTATGGTATCAACATGGAATGAATTCACTATTAGAGATAACAGTCGATCATATCCAGACAAAAGGAGATTGCCTAGAAGTACTTCCTGCACAACAGTATTACCTCTTTACTGATCGGTATGTATAGATGACTTGTCGTCATTACTAACTTTTAGAGATTGTTTATGCTTAGTTAATCACTATGTAGATTTATCAAAATGTATGTTGTACGTGTTCAACATAGTTTTGACATATAGAAGCGAAAGCAAAATTAATTAAAAGGCTTTTTAGCTTAGCGAAAAGGTGTAAAAACTCAAGCAAATGTTATACATATACCTCTTGTGAATTTGCTTTTCTTTTTTTTTTTATTTGGGTTGAATTAGGATAGACAAGAGAGAAAAAAAAACTAATGCATGAGTTATTACGTCATATTTAGGTATATGCACGTGTGTCGATAGAATCAGTATAGCAGAAAATAAGTTTCGCCATCAGCAACCAAGCATAATAACGCCTTTAACATACTTTTCTTTTTTCTTTTTCTTTTAATAGCAAAGCTCGCTGTACACGATGTCTTCTATTCATTGAACGTGATACTAATTTACTTCAATATCGTGAAAGTATGTTTTGTTTTGCAATAGAAAACATTACACAAAAGATGTTTTGACTTTCTATTTTAGGTGAATGTAATGAGGCGGATGATCTATCGAATATTAGTTTATGCCAGAATATGATTGCACCCGATGCACCATTATATACACTTCATCGAAGTGAGTATTTTTATTATTACTAGGATTGTGATTACTGTTATTTTAACATACAGCGTACATATGATGAGGTTAAAAGATTCGTATACATAACAAAGAAACGAACAATAAAAGAAAGCGATGTGTTATTTGCACATTTATTTTTGTTTGACAACACGCACATGTCTATTGTGTTTTTTTCGTTTTTATAAAATCCAGACAATTCAACAGCTCAAATATGTCCTATTCAACCACCATTTTCATTGTTAAAGTTAATAAAAGATGGTTCTAACTGTTATCAATCATTATCGTCATCTTACATTGGTGAATGTATAAATGATTACCAATTTCGTTTACATCTTTCATCATGTTCATTGTATCATCCAACATTTGATCGTCATCTGCAATGTGTTGCAACATGGATCGAAGGTTTTCATACATATTTCGTTACGCGTATTCTTTCAAAAATCTATAATCCAAATGATAATCCATACGCGTGCTTTGTAAATCAAATAAAATCTTATTGATCGTTTCATGCTTTTAAATTTCTTTTTTTTTCATATTTTGTAGTATTATGTAACTAAAGACAAAGATATCTCATCATCGTTTTCATTAAATATGGCAACGGACGGTTCATGTCGTGATCTAAATTCTAGACATATGGCAACAGTAATGACATTATCACCGAGCAGTAGGTTATTTTATTTTTCAAGCATTACTCACCCAGTTTTCTTTTAAATATTTCTTAAGATCGACACATCGGTAACGAATCAAATGTATCATGTATTTTTCCCGATGAATTTCAACAAATTGAATGGTATTCACTTAATCGAACAATGCGAATGTTCATAAAAAATACTGATATCGAACTAGTTCATTCTCAACAAACTGAATATAATCAACGATTTTATTGCGTTCAATCATTCAATTCAACCGATTATCTTATTCGAATATTTATGAATTGGTATAGAATTTCATTTCAATAAGAATTTAAAACGAAGATTTCTTTTTTTTTAAATTTTCCTTGCAGTGATGTTCAAGAGAAATGTTTACGAATAAATCAACGAACAAATAATGTTTTAGAATTCAATATCAATAATTGTAATGATAATGAAGATAGTAAAATATTAACATTCGTTAAAAAATCAAATTATTTATCACAATGCCCAACTAGCATTGGTCATCTATCATTTGAATCCAATCTAAATCATCATCGGCCGTTTCTATTAAGAAAACAATCGTTTCATCTATCTGTTGGTTGTGATAATAGAGAAAAGCTGATTACTTATCAAGTAGAAAAAGGTTTGAAAATAGATTCATATCGATTTACTAAGAGGATTTAAATCTACTTCTATGTCACTTGTGATATCATTTATTGAGATTTGATGATAAACATGTTTTTCTCGTTAAAAACTTTATTGACTTATCTTGAGAACATTATATTGAGTTAGGCAGAGCTTTCGTCATAATCAAAGAGGAAAAGTAAACAGAGCAGGCTTAGTGTTAATGATGAATTTCTGTTAGATGTTAGAAAAAAAAAGTGGTTCAATACAAGTTTTGTAAATGTTTATAGATGAACAGTCAATGGTAAGCGGGGAAAGTGCAGATATGATTATAGCATTCCTCCCGAACCGGAAATTTTCTAATGGCCCGATCGAAACGGGCAAAAAAAGGAAAGGTAATAAAACTCATTATGATACAGTCAGCAGAAAAAGTATCTATTGAAAAATTTCCTACCCGAAGACTCAGTAGTTTTGTCTACAGGGCTTTCTCTTTATGTTTAGATCTTGAATATCGTTGGCCTATTCAAACGGATACTTGTATTGCATCATGGGAGTCTGATGATCTATCAACGATTTATCTTATTGCCCAATCAAACTATACAAATACCAGTTATTGTCTTGTATGTTTTCTTTATTTTTTGGCAAGTTTCGAATATTTTTCATTTAATAGAGATTTCAAATGAGTGATTCAATAATTATTCAAAATAATAGCCATGCATGTTCATTCAATATTGATGAAGATACAATATCTATATCGATTTATTCAGCTAAATTAGTTAATCCTTGTTCGAAATCAAAACAATTACTATTCAACTATATTCTTTTATTACTAACCATATTGTTATGTATAAAAAAACAGCAGATAATAAATTTTATTATTTAGTTGATTACTCATTCCAAACAGTGAATATGGGATTGGATAATGATGAGCCATATAGTTGCAATATTTTTTATTTGCTCTCTTTTTGTTTTGTTTTCTATTTTGCGTTACAGTCATTGATTCCCTCTCATTTCTCTTTTCGTTTTTTTTTTGTTCTTGTTATTACTCTTTCGTAATTATCAATCCCGATCGTTGCTGTATGTATAGATGATTATGAAAGACGAGAAAAAACAACACTATTTGTATTGTGAATATTTATGTGTTCTTTTTTTCTTGATAGATATTAAAGAAAGATAATTTCTATTTGATGATATGTTTTATTTATTTGAATACAGTTTTAGGGCATAGATATTATCAAACGATTGAAGAGGACTTTTACACAGATATATACATTGTGTTGCGTACTGAAATGGCATAAAGTTGAGTCAAATGCGGGATCCATCTACTTTCTAAGAGAGTCTCTTGTGAAGTTAGTGTGTGGGCGTGGTGATTTTATTCACAGTTCTGTGAGATGTTGCTTCGCTGAATGTGTTTGAAATGTTATGTTTTCATTTCTCTCGTTGATGACGCACGGTTTCCTAGTGAAATGAGTTTTGAAAACATTTGAATTTGGTTGTCAAAGTAATTATACTCTATGCATTTGTTTTCGTGAAAAATCTCTTGAAGGCATGTTATTGAGCGTTACATAATCTTCTATTTTATATGAAGAAACCATTTGCTCAATAGATATTTTCCCTCGAATGACGACAGTAGAGAGTTTCAATGATACATCTTATCGCTCTTTTTTCTTTCTTGTCTGCATTGAAAGAAAAAAATTTGAATACACGTGGACGCTCAATAGTAAAATACTGCTATGATTTTTCTTTTCTTTGTAGACAGTCATAATGGCGTCATCTAAGCAAACAAACAAAATCGTCACTCACGGAAAATATTTTATTAAGTCTGCGTTAAGCAAACGTCCACCATCTTCTTTAGAAAATGATGATAGCCGCGGTGAATCTTTCCAACAAAAGAATACGCGTAAATCAGGTCTGTAGAAGAAAAGAAAGAAAATTTGAATGATTGTGAATTTTTTGGTTTCAGATACACAAGATAAACGGCAAAAAGCTATAAGACCCAATGCATTTCTGAGTTTTCGAATAAAAAGTCAACAGGTAAACTAAAGAATTTTGTTAATTGTGTAAATTTAAAAGACGTGAATAAATAGAAAAACAAATAGTTTAATTATGATAGATTGGCTGGTTGCATGTGAAGTAAGAGAGATTCTTAAAGAAATATCAGCACTTGTCAGACGTTTTATGTAATCCGATTTTTTAAAAGCTACTAAGAAAACAACGTTCGAGCGATGTTCACGGTGAAACATACACATTTTCTCATTTAGAAACTATCAAATTCATAGTTTTTTTTTGTTCAGCAGACACTATGAATACTTTGTGGAATTGTTCTCAAGATGTTTTTTACAATTTCAGTTCCTCACTCACACACATACTAAGTGAAACAAAGACTAGCGTCAAATTTCTAAGCTCAAATCATTTTCTCACCGTTTAAAAAAAAAGTTTATCAACTACAGTTTTTCCTCGCTATTTGTTTCCTGGAAAAATCTCTTTCGAGTTAAATTTCTTGAAACTTCCACATTTTCGTTTTTGAATGTCTGTTGTTATTTTACATTAACGAGATATTTCTATGATTTATTCATTCCATAATGGTTACAAATTAACATCGTATTCATATAGACTTAAAAAAAACGAATGTAATCTATATTTAATTTAGATCATCGATCATGCTAATGAAATACAAAAACATATCATAGAATCAAATCCATTATTATCAAAAGCAAGTGTATCAATTGCGAAACTTCACATAACACTTATGGTTTTTGAATTGAAAACAGACGATGATAAAAAAAGGTTAGTAAAATATAATCACAAATCAGTTCTATGAGGTTCCTTCTCGGTGATAAATGGTTCTGCTGTTATTTCTTCTTCTTCTTCTTGATCATCGGCGTATATGATGTCTTCGTTTTGATCTTTATCAAAAAGCATTGAAGCATCATCGTCTCTTGTACTGTGTCTATCTTGATCCCTATTTCTTGATGGCCGTTTAGGTCTTTTATCTTTCATTTTATCTAAAATTGCTTGACCATTGAAATCGATCTCTTTTAATTTTTCTTTGATTATATCAGGTAAACTAGCTAATATATCTAAAACATTGTCTTCTGCATTTTCATCCGAACCTAGATTCCCAGCTTGTTGAGTCATTTTTACTATTGCTTCATTTAATTCATTATATTGCGAAATAACAACTTGCCGTAATTCTTCAAGGATATTATGAATTTCGCCTTGTATGTGTGTTAAGTGTGTTCGTTTAATAGCGAAATAGTCAGCTGCACTAAATTTATCATCTTTATTTACATCAAGTTGTTTAAACAATGTAGTTTTAATAAGAGTTGTTAATGCTGGCGTCCATTTCATAACTAATTGTGACACATTTCTATCTTGTTGAAAATATTCGAAAAATGTTTCATTCGTATAATGTCTATCGAAAACAGGAGGATTGAGATACTGATAGAAATAAACTATGAAACCAATTTCATCGCCATTGAATTCATCAGAAATAGTAAAGTCTATTTTATTTAATGTCGTTGAATTAACGCTAGTACATAACAACGGTTGATTATCAGTCTCGTTTTGAATTTTGTTTTCAATAGTTTTCAATGTATAAACTAACGAAATGCTATTGTTAAGTTGAGCACCTGCAATCCAATCAGGTGGCACATATAAACAAGTACCAGATTGTAAACGTGTAGAAGAGAAACCTGTATCAGAAAGATTCTCTTGTGTAAGTAAAATTTCTGCATCGTATGTTAGTTTTGTTGGATCAAGTAAAATAAATTGTGGCGAACCATATAGAGAACAATATAATTTTGAGAACATATCTGATTGTCGTTCTATGGGCAATTCAGTTTGACCAGGACCAACAATAAGTTCAATATTATGAAAGAATGAAAGTACCGTTGGATGAATCAATTCATCACAATGAAAAACTGATAGTAGTTGAAGAGCATTACGATATGAGTGTGGTAATACACTAACAAATGGAGAAACAAATGTTTCATTGGTTTCAACTGAAGAAGAAAAACAACGAAATCATTAGTTCATTTTAATTCTATTGACATGTTTCTAAACAAAAGCTTACTTGCTTGTAAATAAGAAAGAAGATTTCGATCATGTTCAGGTTCTGAAATATTATTAAATTTTGAAAAGTAATAAGGAGATGTTGGATCAAGAACTAGAAGACGTGGAGTCCATTCACGAATAATGCTTGTTAATTGTTCGTTCACATTGATTATATGCGGATTATTATTTGTTAGATCGTCGTTTAAATAGGAAGAAGCATCTGGTAGTTTTTCGAATGTTTTTATTGGTAATTGTTGAGCTAAATTTTCTAAACGTTCTTTTATCTGATGAAGTACTGAAGAAGTTTCAGCAGATATCAACGTAAAAGATCCCAATAGTAAAACAAGTAACGTATACGACATTGCACTTTGGTTGCGATTATTACAGATAACAACAAGAATAAAAAACGAACAAGTGAGCATAGGTTTATCATTCTAATTGCATATATATATATATAATATACATGAGAAAAGCTGACACGTGTCATTTGCCTGGTAAAAGTAATCTAGTACGACGTCAGTGGTCGTATATTTATGGCTGACTTTCGATTCACTATGATAAATTGTCGATTAGTCAACCAATACAAATCATATTGACGTCTCATAATTATGAATGACAGGGATGTTGAGTGTAATATTTTTATTGGGGAAAATTAAAAAGCAACAATTTATGAATGCAAATAAGAAATAGAGATTGGATGTTAGAGTTTGCAGTTACGTAATTCATGTTGATTTTTATTTCTAGATATGAGTTTCTAAACCAAATAATTTTTAAAATTGAAGAAATCTATTATTATTTTAGAGAAAAGATCGTTTATTTTGTCAAGTCTGTCATGCGCATAATAGTAAACTAAAAATATGTGTAGTGTTTGTCAATATTTACGGTAGGTAAGTGCGCGAAGTGAAGTAATTGAATTACTAAGTTTTAATTGTTTAGTTGTTGCGGCAAAGTCTCCCACTCAATGCATTATCCAAGATTAAAATCAGGCCTTTTCTTTTTCTCTCATAGTACTTGAGCTTCATTGACCTGCGACGTGATACGTAACACATGCCTATCTAAAATATAACTTTTCAAAATTGAATAGCACTCAGGAAATGAATACATGTAGAAAACGATAATTAAACGAGTCCATACTATGATTAAAGAATGATAAATGCTTGAATTTTAACATAATTCTTATTTTTACAGGCAGAAACCAGAATGGAATATTCAAAATAATTTTTCATTTACATTCAAGCTGATTATTGCCGGAAAAAGTATCAATAAAGTAGTAGAGAACTATGAAAGTGAATCATTCTTATACAAATAGAAACTGAAAAGATGATTCGACCTAAACTTTTTATTAATAATTAACTTTTACAACATTTCTAAAATGATTCATCTTGTTCTTTATATGGCTTTATGTATGCTTGCTTACTCTTATGAATTTTGTATTCGTACCGGTATGAATTCAATCTATTTTGGTGTGTAACTATTCTTTTTAATCTAAACTAGCCACTAGTGGCTAAACAAAAAACATAATTATAGTAGATAGTATTGAGCTAAATCGACAATAATATGTCGATGTTTGTTTCGCCTTTTAAAAGAACTTAGCATAAGACATTCTATTTAATATTCAAAGGTTATTCGTTACATTTGAACAGGTATTACAAATAACTCCGAGAAGCTGATTATTTGCTTTCACACCAGGTCGCATTTTTTATCTACTAACGATGCGATGTCAGATGTCACAACGACATGTTATTTCGTTTAAATTTAACTCCTGGACTTCAATTTTTGTATGATTGATGTAGAAATGCAAATAAAATAAGTAAATCAAATAATCGTCGGGTTTCAAAGGTATTTACATGAGTGTCAAATTGAGTTCGATATTGGAAACAAAACAAATAGAATTGCACTCTCAATTCCATTAACAGCAAAACTTAATGTCACTTTCACTTGAATAACGAAAATTTCTTATCGTCTAATTGATATTCAATCACATCCGCATAACATAGAAGCAATCGATATAGTTCCGTTTTCAATTATCTTACATATGAATCGTCTATAAATAGCAAAAAAAGATTGAAATTACAATCTTCTCAAAAGTAACCCGATGGATGTTCGTGTCATTTTAGCAATCAAAGATAATCGACTAAATTTTTCTTTTTAATAACTATCAATTAATCTATTGGATTAAGATCTTGTTGTTTTTCTGTCACGTTCTATTTAGAGCTCAACAGAGTCTTGCTGATGTATATCATCAAGTTTCATTAGCGAAATTATCACTGCCACAGATTACATTTGCGGGCCTGTCGCATTTCCAACATAAAGTACTTTACATGAATCCAGTTAAAGATGCTCATCTTGATGCACTTGCACGTATTGCTGGTAAGTTCCATTTTATATTTTAACATGGAAATTTTTTTCTAATTATCATTGACTTGAAGAAATTTGTCGAGAAACTTACGAGAAAAATGGTATTATGTCAGCAGATGCTCGTCAATTTAATCCACATTTAACGTTATTTAAACTTTCAAAAGCACCTGATCTCTATCGAAAAGGTTTGAGTGTGTATTGAAAATGTTACACGCAAACATGTTTGATTGTATGAAGGTGTAAGGAAAATTGAGCAATGTTGGTATTCTAAATATAATGATCATCATTTTGGCATAGAAAATTTTCGATCAATTCATTTATGTAATATGTTGAACGAAGAACAAGATGGTTACTATGAAATTTTTCATGAAGAACATCTTTGTAAGCTAATGCATATACATTCGTATGTTTGTTTTATTTTTATTTTTCATATTCAGTTAACAATGATTAAGGTTAATTTCCTTCGTCGAATAATGGCAATGATGAACCTGTAGAAAACAATAATGTTCTACTCTCATCTGTAGAAACTGAAAAATTACTTCTAATAGTTAAGCAATAGAATCATGGAACCAATGATTTGCACTTCAACTGAAATCAATGAAGAACCTACTTCAGACTTATCCAGTTCATTCATGTACTCATTGCCGTTCCTTTTGTTCGATAGTGTGAATATATCGAATATTATGCTTTTGTTTTTGTTTTTGTTAAAATTGATTTGTACAAGTTTCTTTGCTTTTCCAGATGTTATTGAACAAAATACTCTTTCCAGCACCAAAGCCAGCTCATTATACGTTAACATCGCATAGCGAGAATTTATTTTGGCTACCACCTGAATCCACTAATCAATTACCGATACCATGCATGTTTTATTCACCGGATAATCTACAACGGCAAACTGAATATTTTATGATATTTTGCCATGGAAATGGCTGCGACATTGGTACCATGCAATACACACTAAGTGAATTTGCTAAGCATTTAAATGTATATATTATAAGTTTTGAATATCCATCGTATGGATTATGTGAAGCATCATCGCCAAATCAACAAACAATTAATAATCATGCTGATCGAACGATTAATTTTGTTTGTAATACTCTTCAATGGCCAATCGAAAGAATCATTGTCTTTGGACATTCCATTGGTAGTGGTTCAGCATGTTATCTTGCATCAAATAAGCCGATCGGCGCATTAATTTTACAATCTCCGTATACAGCTATTAATAATTTAGTAAAAGAAAAAGTTGGATTTCTTTCTTTGTTTGTTAGTGGTCGCTCATGGAATAATCTTGAGGCAATGAAAGATATAAAATGTCCGATACTCTTTATACATGGTTCGGATGATACGCTTATACCGCCGAGTCATTCGCAAATCCTATACAATGCTTGTTCACATATCGATGCAAAAAAAATAATTATACTACGTTATGAAGATCATAATTCAATGTCTGAAATAACTCTTCTGAAATACGTAAAACCATTTGTAGAAAAACAATGTACAGTAACTAATACAAATATTCATCTACCTATCGTAAAAATCGATGAGGAACTACGTCAGCTACCCGAAAGTTTACCAAATAATAACAGGACCGCCACCACCACCACCAGCAGTAGTAGTAGTGGTAGTGGAGTTTTAAACTCTTTATATGCAATTGCAAGAGCTTCAACAACTGCTACTGTTTCTAGTATACAAAAAGTATCGGGTAAAAAAAATGACTCTTCAAATGAAAACCAATAATCTCTCATGCAAACAAACGATTGTTTTCCGTTTGATACAAGAAAAAAGGAGAATGCTATCCTATTTTTTCGTTTTTTTGCTAATTTTTAATAAACTTGACAAGATGTTTCTTTGTAATTACACAACAAGAAAATCATTATATTACAACACGCGGCACAAAGCTTTTACAATAAGCATTAAAATAAAGCTTTTTTGCTTCAGCCATATACTTTTCTGATACTTTCATTCGACGTAATTGTGGCGTATTTAATCGTACCAACTCAGTATTTGATAATCGGAATGTCGGCCTAGTGGCTGCAACAGGTGCAGTACCAGTTGATGAAACTGTTACTTTTGAATTTGAAGATATTTTACTGGCACCCGATGAAATACTACTTCGTCTCTTGTCGGATATTGGATGGCTTGAAACATTTTTTTGTTTTTCAGTATTAATCGGATGAAACGTAACCATTTTTTCTTTATAATCAGACATTGAATGCGTAGAAGCATTATTTAGTTTATCATCACATATTGGCTGAAGTGAAATATTATTGCATTTATTATCAGTTAATGGTTGAAGCGTAAAACTATTTTGTTTCATTAGGTTTACTGGTGCAGGTGGCCTTTGGTGTAGTTGATAAAATTGTTCATAGCTCAATGATAACGGGCTGCTTCGCCGAGAACTTCGACTGTCTTCCGTGTATCTTGGTGAATTGTATTTCTTATTGAAAGATAAATAGGAAGCTTTATGTGTAGATATCGACGAATGAGTAGGTTGATTGAAACCTGAAGTTATAATAGAAGTAGTCTATTTAACAGATTATTCAAATAAATTTAACTTCTTCAAAGGCTATTCATAGATTTTTCGTAAGTCGATGTTGAAATAGAATTTCAAGCAATGCTGTTGCAAATCTTTTATATTGTCTCAATTGTATTCTATTCGACATACAGTTATTTACCTATTAGTGGAGACGGATTTGTTAGAGTCAGTTGTGAAGATCGATAGTTATCAATTGGAGGAAGTTTAATTGAGAAATGATCTTCTAGGAAGTACGAATGAGCACCAGCAACCGACCATTTAAACATAAGATTGAATCCAGATGCCTTTTGAGCAGGTGGTAGAGCTTTTAAAGCTGTATTTCGCTGCGTTAACGACCGAGACATTTTTTTTTGTAATACTTCGAAAACGAATTTGTGAAAAATACAATGCGCGACAAAATTTATTCGATTCTACTTTTTTTTCTGTCTTCTGACAAATATACTTATCTACCGAGGTTTTTATTGTTGTAAAAGCTGAAAGGGTATGAGAAAAAGCGAATGACTTTCTTTTTTTCGTCGCTTCAATAATGAAACAATGAGAAAAAGAACTCATACAACCTGTCGTCAGAACATTTAAAAGAAAAGGGGGTTAAAGCGCAAGACACTACTAAATTTAGATATAAATCATTGCAAAGGTAAAAAAGCAAACATCAATTGAGATCGTCTTAAAATCTTAGTCTTAAGGTTAGATTAATTCATTTTTTTTATTCATCTTTTATTTATACCAACAGAAGAAAAAAAATTGAAAAGAACAAATAACAATTGTACCATACGTATAGATACACACACGAACAGACATGCCGATAAAAATCACAATCGAGATACACGCAGAGGAAAACGAGAGTTTGTTGATAAACTCGAATTTAAAGATGCATTTATATCAGCAGAATTTCCATTATCGTCTTCACCGCGATGAGATTTCAGGCCGTATTTTGCAGATGAATCTATAAACAGACAAACCATGAATGAAAACGAAACCAATATTGGATTATTTCTTGTTTGTTTTATGTTTAATTTTTTTATAAAATCTTGTAACGTACCTGGATTTTTATTGAGCGGGGTCTGTTGAGTTTGAATACGATGCACATGATTTGACGGTTGTTGTTCGACAAGTAACAATGACGGGGATTTTTTTCGTTGTGATCTCATTGAAGAATGATGTCGTCTACTATATGAATCAGAATGATTTCTTTGTTCCGTCGCAAGCATAAGTACAGTGTCAAATTTATCTAATTCAGGCGTTTTCTCTATAGTTGTACGAGTTTTTGATGTACGCCCAAAATTAACTGATGCTAATGATGATGAACGACGATGGGGATGATGAGCTAACGTACACGGGTCTGCATCATGTTCACATTGAGAGCAACGACGAGTAACAAGTGCTTTACGATTCGAAGCGCCACATTGAATTGAAAAACGAACTTCTTTTAGTAATTCCCACCAGACAGAATGCTGAAAATATTTTTTTTGCTTCTTATTATAATTATAGAAATGCCCGAGGATAAATCGGAAACGAATTCTTATGAATAAACTTACTCGTCGATCGGCATGATTTTTTCGTGCATGCCATAGAAATTCAAGAATAGCAACAAATATTGAAAGAACAATACCACCTAAATATGTAAATATAGTAAATGAAAATAAAGTGAATCGATTGATGATTCTTACCAAGAAGTACAACAAATATACCACCGACATTTGTAAGACCCAATGGATTCGCTTTTGAATCTTTCTTATCCGATGAACATGTTCCTTTACCTTTCCACCATTTATTGTAAGATTTTTGAATCTAAAATAGAAATAGCTCATAGATTTTTCTTCTTACTATTTTTCATTTTTAAATGCCTTACAATTCCTTTTTCTTGTAAATCAAGAATTATTTCAGAAAAACGCTCTCGATGTGGACTTCCTACAATAAGAAAAAAACAAAAAAAATTCAAAATTTCTTTTTGCGTAAACGTTTTATTCTCTTGAAAATCTAACCTTCGGGTAATCCAATACCATAGCCTTTATTATCAAGTAAACCACCAATTTGTGTTAAATTACATTCACGTTGTACAGTATATTCAATTGATGTTGATTCCATAAAAAATGCATAGGATTCACTTTTGACACGATCAATACCTTCTTGACTATTTTTTGCAAATACTTCTGGATTATTACTCATAAATTTCCACATCGCTTGATAGACGGGAATAGTTGATTCCTATTTTTTCGCCAAAAAACAACAAAATTTAAACAATTGAATAAATATAAATGATCAAATTTACTCGAAAAAATTGTTCTGTTGAACCACCACTAACAAGACCATACTTTATTTTTGTTTGTTTAACTAAATCTTCAGCACTTTCAATTGGATTAACAAGTTTTTCGACAGTTAAAAAAGCAGCTAAAATTATAGACATAGGTTTGCTTAATAAAAGAAAACGAAGAGAAACACATTTTTCGTTTTTACCTAAATTAGCCGTATATGAGGAAATCAGTATCAAAGTAAAAAACCACCAAATACCAGATACAAGACGAGTTGATATAGCTGATGGACTTACATCCGAACCTTTGAATACAAATAATACAAGTTCCGCCTTGCTATTTTTTTCTTTCTTTTGAAATTTTTCATCTACCTTGTTGCATTAATGTTCCAATTGAAAACCAAAGTGTATTGCTGACAGTAAAACGATTTTCTAAATAATCATATTCAGCATCACATGGATAAGGATTACGCCATTCATCAGGTGAACATCGAGCAATTAGCAATAGAATAAAACTAACGGTAAATATAGCAGCAAATGTGTATATCTAATTGAAGAAAAGCAATTTTTATTTTTCATAACTTGAATTGAATAAAACTGTATTTTACCCAAATTTCCAGTGATAATGGACTGAGAAAACTGAATAAGCCTGGCTTTTCAGGTTTAGGCAATTTAAAGAGTATGGCAATACCCAAACTGAGAAATGGTTTCGTAAAATCGATTTTTTTTTCACGAGCATAATTAACTAAAATAAAAAAAATATAACAGTAAGTAGAGAAATTTTGAATTCTGAAGTGACTTGATTTTTTCCGAAACGGAGCGTGTTAATACGCTCTCATACGAATGTTTTGAACTTAATACTTACTAGTTAATGGTGCTACTGCTAAATCGGCTACCTAAATAAATCAAGAAGTTTTTTTGCTTTTTTTATTTCTGCTGCTTTTTTATTTACTTTATTTCTAACTTCTTCCACCATATCATCATACCGTCCTGTTGTAATCGGTTTAATTTTATAATAGAATTTTAATTCACGAGAAAGTTCATCAAGTAAATCAATACAAAACCCTTCGAATTCACTATTGGAATAGGTTTGATTTAATATTACTGTTGCATTTTCACTATGTTTATAGATTACAAAAGGAGCTCCCTAGAAGGTTTAAAAAAGAAAAAGAAACAAAGCATTCTCCTATCTATTCCGATAAATGTGAAGTTTTCTTTTTTTCTTTTTGACATACAATAATAGTCGTCACAATCAATGTTGAGTTGAATAGAGTTCCGCGTGATGATGATATCAATGTAAAATTGGCACCTCGTTCACGCGACCATACTCCGATCTGAAACGGTGAATAGGAAAACAAACTTTTATATGACTTTTTGTTTTTACTTTTGTTAAACCAGTTTCAGTTAAATGAACAATATCAAGCTCGAAACCTGTTCGTTTACCAGAAGGCGTAAACTTTACTATTCCAGTAATACCATCAAACGATATCTATGAATGATTAAATAACCAAACAGAAAAAAGGTTTTTTTTCTCTATCATTTCAATCATCTACCTCATTAAATTTTAAACCAAGTTCTGTGCCTAATGGCCATTTGTTGTCTTCAACGCATGAAATATTCGGACGTATGGCTTCATTTCGGAAACCTCCATAGGATGTGATTAATTTATCATAAGCATACGCATAAGCAAGTACAGCATCAACCCATAATGCGACTGACGTCTAAACTGAGCCAAAATATGATTCAATCATCAGTAAGTAAAACGAAAAAAAACAAACGATGCTTCTTTTTCTGTTTTTACAAATGACTCACTGTGAATAATCGTTGATTAATATCATCTGTGGGCATTGTTTTAAATACAAAAAATGAGTCCATTGCTGATTTTACACGTTGATCATCACGACGAAATAAACGAAATGCTGTTAAATTAACAAAATTATATTTAAAATCTTCTAGATCATATGAATCAATATTCTAAAATAGGAAAGAAAAATATACGTTTTTTCTTCTTCTAAAATACTAGCAATTCACATACCAATGTTGTTAATACAAAATGATAACTTGAACTAATCATACCCATTTGTAAAGCCATTTTTAATACAGCATGTGTATGAAGATCATTTAAATCTAATATTATATTAAATACTTCTCGTCCAATGGCGTCAAGAAGTGCACTACGATCATTAATATGTGTAAATGGTCGTACAAGAATATCAGTTTGATTTAAGCCAGGATCGTTAAGTACTCTTTGCAAACGTGTCAAGCCTAACAGTAATATTTTCCGATTCATAATTCTTTTCATCATGCTAATGGACTTTCTTACCTGATTCTATATCGTATATAATGATAAATTTATTCCAGTGAAGTTTATGTGTTAAATTATGAAATGCTATATTAAGCTCTGCATTGGACGGATATAAATTGATTGACACACAATCATGTCTTGTTACATTGTCCCATTGCTCTTCGGCGTCTCCAGCTAGATTTTCCGGATCGTAACAGTTCGAACAAACATTGATAAAGGGTATATTAATGTGACAGCATATAGAATGAGCAAGTGTTGCAAGTTCAATATATGGTGGACCAAAAATGCCTTGTACACGACGTTGATGTATAAGTGAGCAGACTAAAAATGTGCTTTAATTAAAAAGGAAGATACAAAGAAATATTTTAAATTACCATCCTCAACAGTTTTCAAAGTTGATCCAGACGATATTAAATTTAGTGTTTCTGCTTGTAAGTTTATTTTATGTGTTAGATTATGTGCATCTTTAGCCAAACGGTTATAATGAAATATAGCGTATTTAAAAATACTTTCCATGCTTTGTAAACTTGTACCTTCGTCTCGATCGGTAAAAACACCGCCTACAAAAACAAAATCATCAATCAAATCATTTCTCTTGTGTTATTTTACAAGAATACGAAGGTTTTGAAAATTTCTTTTCATCATTATTTGAAATCAGGTAAGATTTATTTTACTATTTAAGGATGTAACTCAAATTTCTTTAAAAATCATTTATCTTCATAATGGCATAAAATAGAAAATTATTTCCGAACGATAAATTATTAATAATTCCAATACATTTTCCATTAAGCCTATCTGTCATGAGTTGTGAAAAGAAAAGAAAACCTACGAGATTTACAAGAGAGTCAAATTGACATTAGAATGGCCTTCCTATAATTGTATCAGCTTCTTTTGATTAAGATTTACACTAAGAAATTTAGATTAAATATTCAACTAAAATGCTATTGTGAGAAATAACCTATCAAGTTACAATAGGTCAATAGAAAAAACTATCATAATCTACATTAATGCAGAACAAACTACACTTAGTGATTTATTAAGTGTAAGGCCAAGAGTTAGTATCTCGTTGAAGATCAGATTGATTTTTCCGACGGCATTGGATGTGACTATTTAAAGTGTTGTATCGATATTTCTAAAAATAGGTGTTCAATTTGTCAGAATCTAAAGTAGCTCTTTTACAAGAGAAAATCTAGATAAAATAGTCATTTCTCGGTTAAGTATCATTTCTTATAGAAATTATACCTCAATTTTCTTTGTTGCTATATTATTTACGCAAAAATATCGTTGTAATAGTGACGACCAATGAATGGTATTCATTGAATTTCTTGAGAAAATGCAATCTGCATCGATATCAATGTGTTGATCCATAGCAATATGATATATATACAGTGAAACCTCTGTTAATGAACACCTCCCATTTGAACAGATGTCTCGGAACCCCCGATCGATTTTTGCTGTAAATATACCTCTGCAAGATGAACATCTCCCAACTCTGAACATGGAACATTTTTTTCAGTCATTTCTATAAAAAAAAACACCTCTCTACAGTGAACATACACTGATCAATTACGCTTTCGTGTATGGAAAAATAGATTGCACATAATAAAACAATGATAAATCAAATTTAGACGGTCAATTCGTCATAAAAAAAGGCTTTGTCATATGTATGACACAAACAGAACAATGAAAATGAATAGGCAGCGATGAGTTAATCGATTCTGTGTGAGAGAATAACGCACATTTCTCTTTCAATTGTAAAATGGCGACAAAACACAAACTAACCTTATCTGAAAAAATGCAATTAATTCGTGAAAATGAAAATAACACTCTTATCGTACACTTGCTGAGTATTACAAGATCTCGATCGGTAGTGTGTCAAATATTATTAAACGCTAGGCAGAATACATCGAAAATTACGAACATAATGAAAACTCAACAAAGAAACGCAACTTTCGAGATGAATTAAATCAACAACTCGATCAAAAATTTTACGAATGGTTCGTCATTCAGCGTAGTAAGAACATTCCTATATCAGGCCCACTCATACAAGCACAAGCCCGAGAAATTCGTCAACAACTGGGTGGTGCAAATCTTGATGAATTGAAGGCCAGTAATGGATGGCTTGAAAAATTCAGAGTACGTCACAACATACAATATCGAGCCATATGTGGAGAATCGACAGCAGTGGACATTGCAAATTTTTCTTTGTTACAAGATAAATAAAAAAGTATGTACAGTAGATGAAACCGATTTTCTTAAAATTTGGCACTGACCGTAATAGATAGTAGTATAAAAGGTGTATATTTATCATTCGTATATACATATATAGATTTCATTCAACATGGCACCTCTCTAAGATGAACACCTCCTTTAATGAACGCGTTTTGAACAGTCCCGTTAGTGTTTATCTTAGACAGGTTTCACTGTATATCTTTTTCTTCTTACAACCAATTTATTGAACATTCGTATTCTAATTTATAAGTCAAATATTCGATGGAAACCTACATGAGATCATTTCAATTTTACTTGATATCTAGTTATTTTTAAGATTCATGATATGCGTATTTTCTTAATTAAAAATGCCTTTGCATTATTAATGATTTATCTCTCGGAAATAATTTTCTATCGAAAGTCATCAAGAAGAAAAATGTTCTTAAATGTCATTTTAGTAGTGTTTTCAAATTATCGAATAGAAGATATTTCGATTTAGTTCAAATTCGAAATCAACAAGGTGAACTTTAGCTAAAATGATGGAGACAGAGAGAAAGAATCAAAAGCAATGAACAGAAATAAATGTTGTGCATAATTGATAGAAATGAAATATCTTCTTTGCATGAGAATACCCTATAATTATCAGATAGAAATTTTCCGGTTTCCTCAATTATTTTTCTTTAAATAGTAAGAGAAAAAAAATGAGTTAAACGGCAAAAGTAATTAATGTGTTAGTTGCTATAACGAACGAGTCAGTTACAATGATGAATTTCTTGAATAAAACGATTCATTTTCTCAGGTAATTATTTATATAGATGTGTATATTGTGATTTATAAGAGATTTTCTACGTTGCCTACCTATGATAATATCAAGGGATTGAGAGTGTAAATGTTTTTCATCGACTATCGAAGTTGAAATAATAATGAATAAGTACCAGAGATAAAAAACAATCGTTATAAGCATCTTTCTGCATCACTTGTTGTACACGTTTAGTTTTATTACTATTGAATATCGATTTTTTTCATGTTAAAATAGATAAATTAATAATATGTTTTATCTAAAGTATGTTTGTTTAATCGTTAAAAGTAGGTACAATAGACAAAAAAAAATCATCGTTTACCGTAATTCATGTTTCTTCAATATCGAAGATGTGCATCGAGGTATTGTATTGCAATAATTATCATCTAGAAACGTAGAGAATAAATTCAATAGAATACTCTAAATAAAGAACAAAGATTTATTTGATCAGTCTATTTGCATGTTTTTGCACTTCAAGTGCTTATCAACAAGCGTTTAGTGGTAATTATAGAAGTATAACAAAAAACCAAAGAGCGCCGACGAATCATTGTTCGGAAGGCTGAAGATGTTTGCACTGTAATAGATTGAATTGCCACTGCTGGCAGTATTTTACATAGTTGTCAAAACTAGTTGGTCTTCTAATTCTTATATTTTATTTCACAGATGCATCATTATAACAGAAAAAAAAACATGAGAATGTAGGAATTCTTGTCTTTCCCGTCATTTTTTTCTTCTTCTTCTTCTTCTTCTTCTTCTTCTTCATGTCGTGTTCTTATCGTACACGATATTCTATGTAGACTCATTCGCTTTATCGCTTTACACGTTCAACAGACTCATCAACGTTCGCTCCCTCTAGCTGGCTGTTATATAGATGATGCTAAGAACACACATCCGAAAAGGTTTTCCATTTTACTATTTCTCGACGTTGTTCGTAGGCTCATTGTCAAGAATAAGAATAGGAGAACAAGAAAATCCAACTGAGACAGACACAAATAAGAATGACAACCGCCATGAAAAGACAATTTCCTAAGTTATCAACGAACTAGAGAAAGGGATCATTGTCTGACACTAATAATGATAGCGAGATTGCTACAGCTTCCATTGCCTACTGTCAACTTAAGAGATTCCATATGGAGTCTAAAATAGCAACTATCATGTTAAGCTAGATCTACGAATTACTATAAATGAATTTAATACCGTATTGACAATTAAATCCGGTTTATCATGAAAATCTTCTAATAGATTAGGATCATTTTTTATACATGTTCAATCAATGAAAAGCGAATGCAGCATCTTTTCATTAATAGACAAAAGAAACATCACGAAAGATTTTTACTGTCATCTATTGAAGACTATTATAGTGCTTAGTTTTTGACATGTCAAAAAGAAACTTGTATCCAACCGTGACAGAAAAGTAGTTTTCTTGCTTTTCTTTCATTGTTAAACGAAGCTCGACTACGTTGATAAACCAATATACGATCAATTTATAAATAAAGATTTGTCATAAGCTTGTTATTTAGAGAATTAACATGATTAAATATTATTATTTTCTAGTCTTTTCAATTTAATGTAGGAAGATTTGAGTAGCTGGATGAGTTTCTTTCGTCAATAGAAAATATTATCATTCAATAGTTGATGAAATTTTTTTATTTAGTTTTCTTGTAGAAAACATTGCTAGAATTTAATAAGGTTATAGATAAATCTATGTCAAAACTTGTAAAGTCATTATTGTTCGAGAAGAAAAAGCTAATAAATCAATTTTTGATTTAAATAATTAGAATTTCAATTATGCAAAGAAAGATATAATAGATTTTCTTTTTCTTTTTTTAAATACATTTCTAGAATAATATCAACTAACTTTTTCAATTATGATTGATTCAAATGAATTAAGAGTGATAAGTAAAAATAAAACTAGACTAAAGCATATCGATCGACCCATACGATAGATAATCAATAAGATCATATGATTGATCAATCGATCGATCAACTAGCCTCAAGGCTTTTATACCCAAGACAACCAATCATTTGAAACACGCACACATATTACAGTTATGATGAACGACGAAAAAAATTAAGCGAGAAAGAGAGAGTTTTTGCTCTATGTTTTGCGCTAAGGCTATCATCAAGAATTGAATATGCACACATTCATACACTCGCTAAAATGCATACATCGTTTTATGTGTATATGTGGCGAGTTTCTATTGTTGTTGTAAGTAAGATAAAGCGATTAGTCGTGTGCACACGCACAGACGCGCGAGAAATATATATTCAAATGTCGATGCTTGAGGGTGTGTGCAACAACGGCTACAACAACGATGAAAAAAGAAAAAAAACATTGACGACAAACGGAGAGACGATGGAGATCGAATATCGTTTTGTATGTGTTATATACTTCTGTTGTTTGTCACTTGCACTGCGGCAATATTCAATTTGATGAATGATGTCTCAACAATAGTACAAGCGAGTACAGATCTTGTTTAGCCTCCTGCTAGAAAGATTAGACGATGCCTTCATTGCACAACATATAGATGCATGTATGTATACATTTGCTCGCATCGATGGCATCGATCAGGTCAACGGCACTACTTCTATTACAAAAAAAGAAGAACTTATTCCTCTCTATACTTTTATACAATAGTATGTATAATATATATATATATATATATATATATACATCAAAGTCGTACCATTCATACATACTGTTTTTTACCCTCTGTTCCCTTTCATTCTCTCTTCGGGTGTTTGTTGAAATGTCAGTTCTTTCTTTTTTTTATAATCAATTCGTCAACGAACTGAACTCATTTCTCTGATTGTGATAATAGTGCTAGGATTATATAATATTCTTCTTCATTCTCTTCATCTAGTCGATAAAAACTTCAAAGTGCTTTAACGTTAACCTCGTCGTCTTCTCATATATTGAATCAGCTGAAGTAAGATTTGTAACCATATACAATGGTTAAGTATTATACAGAAGAAAAGAAAAGAGAAAAATACAACCGTAAGAAAATAAATGACCTTTTTTTGGCTTCACACTTTCGTCTAGTATATGTATGTGTGACATGTTGCCACTTGTCGTCGTCATCATCATCATCATCATCATCTGCTTTTTTTTTAGACTTCTATTCCTTTCTTATACATCTACTATTACTTCTATACAACTACTTCTCCTTCAGTGCGTAGACAAGTGTGTTCGGCAACGTTTAATGAACTGCTTGCTTTTAACTCATCAGCAGCAACCGTACCGGTTTAGCTGTCAATATGAAAGAATATAAAGTCGTAGTTCTTGGTCCCGGCGGCGTCGGTAAATCGGCATTAACAGTACAACTTTGTCATTCAAAATTTGTTGAAAAATATGATCCTACTATAGAAGTAAGTGATACTCTTCCTTTACTTTTTCTTTCATTTTTATCAAAAAAAAAAAGAAGAGAAAGAATTTAATTGGTTTCAGCGATTGAGTACCTTTTCTTGTTATTTGAAGTACATACTCTCATAAAAGAAATACAACGATTGTGTCCCTAATCAAATGCTTATAGCTACACGGAAATATTTCGAAAAACATAAAATATGCACGTCTTGTGCATAGAAGATCCCTTGGAGAGCATCTAACGAAAATAATTTCATTTTGAAAAATCAATTACTTTTCTGTCCGAAAGAATATTTTTGAATTCAAAATTATTAACGTCATATCCTTTCCCAATGAGCTTTATACATAAACAAATATGCAGATTCTGTTTTTCTTCTTTAACTTAAAAACAAAAACAAACTAAGTACAAACTACTCTACGAACCTGACATTGATTATCAACATTGAGCTTGTGACTTTTTTTTTTTATTTCTGTTGAACTGTACAAAATGATGAATGCTATCGTTCTTTTTTTCTTTGTCTATATATCTAAGAATGAGAGAAGGACAGTATCCCTAATCAATTGAAACTCTCTTCAGTTAGTGATCTAGACAAATAACACTTTCTCCATGGAAATCAAGAGGATTGTTTTACTACTGTCTCATGTCAACGACGATAAGGAATTTTTTTGAAATATAACTCCCAAATGAATTTTCCAATTAACTATATTAACACATCAAACTTATTTCGTCTCTTATTTTGTAGGATTTCTATCGTAAAGAAATCGAAGTCGATGGTGAACCTGCTTATTTAGAAATTCTCGATACCGCTGGTTTGTTTTATACTATGTTGTTTCTTAATTTAAGCAAGCCTTTCTATTGTATTCTCTAGGTACTGAACAATTTGCATCTATGCGCGATCTTTATATAAAGAATGGTCGCGGTTTCCTTGTTGTATTTAGTCTAACATCTTGGCAATCATTTCTTGATGTTCGAACTGTTCGAGAACAAATTCTTCGTGTTAAAGGCACAGAAAATGTTCCAATATGTCTCGTCGGAAATAAATGTGACGCATCATTACAACGTCAAGTAACACCCGATGATGCACTTGCATTAGCCCAAGCATGGAGTTGTCCATATGTTGAAACATCAGCAAAATTAGCAATTAATGTTAATGATACATTTGCTGAAATCGTACGAGAAATTAATGCAAGAATGAAAGCAAAAAAGCCCAAAACTAAAAACAAGCGAAGACATCGATCATGTTTTCGTCTCTGTTGTTGTTATTCATCGCCGTGATACAAAAAAAAGATATAATATATAAATATTTATTTATACATATATATATATATATATATATATATATATTAATTTTGATGTAGAAAAGAAGCAAAAGGTTGTTTTTTTCGGCTTGCTGATTAATAACTAATATATATATATATATACATATAACATATATATATATATATAATCGAAAAGATTGAACAAAAGAAAAAATACATTTTTTTAAAAATAATTACAGTTCTTTTTTGTACTAATCGAATCTGTCATTAGATGTCTCATTCAAAATTATAGATTATTGATTCAATAATATGATCTGATTGAAAGACGTATTATTAATATTATTATTATATTGTGCTTCTATTGATAATACAAGCCTTCACTAATAACTATATATTAATAACGTTGTGTGATCGCATGTCAATAAATCGAAAAACAGTAAAAGAAAATTTGTTTTCTTAGTAAAAAATGCGTTGTACGACTGGTTTTGTGTTATTAATATAGATTAATAGGAAATCTATTAATTTTTTTCCTGCTTTATAAAATCAATAAGAAAGAGAAGATTATTTCGAGGCATTACCTTCTTTTTTTTCGTTATATTTTGATTGATTAATCATGGTCTGGATCGTTTTATCAAATGCTGTTTACAACTAATCGTTTTCTTTTCTTTTTATCATTATTGATCAAAGGATAAAAAAAATAATTTTAAATGAAGACAAATTTTCAAAGCCTAAGTGAATGTCACTTTTTACTTTTTCATAAGAATTTTAAAGATAAGAATCTACTTTCTAACCATTAGTGTTATTATAAACCCCCATCTGTTTTGTTTAATGTCACTATGATAGGACAGAAACACGTTCGGCATTTGTATCAATACTCTTGAGACATCTGTTTTTATTTGAAAAACTATTTTGCATTAGTGTCGTACTCGTATTCATGGTGAATATAATCTATTAGCCAAGGATGACATACTGGTTCTATGCATCTGATTATTGATCAGACATGAAAAGGTTCGATCCCTTCCCCCCGGCACGGTGTCAAGATATACGATATCGGAAGAGTAAACAAAGGAAGAACAGTACTGCACGCCAATTTTGCCATCACTTCCTCGATTTCGACTTTCGTTCTGTTCTTTTACGTTTACGTTTTCTCTTCATTGTCATCCTTTCTCTGTTTGGTATTGTAGTCTTGTCTGTTGACTCTTGTTTTCGTAAGCGTCCACAAAAATATGTATGGATGTCACGAATAAATATAATGCATAAACCAAAAAAAACCTATAATCTATTGCAATTATCATATCTAATAGATCATTAGAAATGGAATTAACAAAAAAGTTAGATAAGATGGTACGACATGTTTTTTTACTATCATCAATCACTATGTCAAACTCAAGAAAAATTTTCAAACGAACTGATAATGATAAATGTATTTGTATAAAGATGTAAAAGCTATTCTAATTAGGATACCAATGAGAAAGAATAGCTCGCATGACTTTCAATTTGTTGATCAGTATGATCTGTAAAACAGTGCAACCTTTCATATGATCTACAATTCATTCATTTCTTTCGCCTACTCTTTTCTTCTTTCGAAACTTCTTCACAGTGTCTCAATACCGTTCAAAAAACAAAACGTTCTTCCATATTATAATATTTCTCGCGTACCAATTATGAATAAATCCATAAATAAAAATGCTAACAGCCTTAATCATATTAACCATCGTTGATAATTCATCTGCAGCATTCATTATTGTTATCCATATCTCGAACGCGTTATTCATGTAAGACTTCACGTAACGTTCAGTCAGAACTCGTTCAAGAAAAGAGAATACTATCAAATATGATATTGGCGGAGCAAGCTAGACAGACACATCTTTATGATATTGTCAAATGTCTATTCAATCGAGACAATTAACGTATGCACAATTCAGTGGCCCATTAAATCTTGTGTAATAAGACCTGTTAAAGTTCATCATTGTACAACATTTCGATAAAATGGATGACGAGAAAAAGGAAGAGAATTAATTCTGAATTTGATAAAATAAAACAAAAAAAAACGAATTAATTTATCAATAGTTTTCAACTAAATAATTACTTATATCAACGACAATGAACAGAAATTCATTTTCAAAGCGTTTTTCAGCAAATTCTTTATGACACGTTAAGAAAAAAAAAAGAAATTGACTAAAGATTTTTGTCTTCTAGTATTATTATATATTAAATAAAAGATAGATTAATATATTGATTGGTTATAAAAAAAAAATGATGATTTAAATATCATTCCAACAGCTATACTTAGATATTCAATTAATAAACGTCTACTGGGTTTTATTTGATGTGCATACTTTTCTTATTTTGCCTGTTGTTTGTTCAAAATGATTACACAAGCTTTAATGGACCACTGCATTGTGCATATGTTAATTGTCTCGATTGAATAGACATTTGACAATATCATATTTGATAGTATTCTCTTTTCTTGAACGAGTTCTGACTGAACGTTACGTGAAGTCTTACATGAATAACNTTAATATGATTAAGGCTGTTAGCATTTTTATTTATGGATTTATTCATAATTGGTACGCGAGAAATATTATAATATGGAAGAACGTTTTGTTTTTTGAACGGTATTGAGACACTGTGAAGAAGTCTCGAAAGAAGAAAAGAGTAGGCGGAAGAAATGAATGAATTGCAGATCATATGAAAAGTTTTACTGTATTAACAACGAAATTTTGACATTATAAAAAGCAATGCTAAAGAGACGATAATACTGATCGATAGATTGAAGCTATAAATGTTGAGTGGAGGATAGAAAATTGATTCGAAAGGCAAGTATTCTGTTGTATAGTTTAATCTATGATTTTGTGCAAGTACTCGATAAGCACAAATGGCATTGTAACGCTACTCTGATCAAGTATCATTACAGTGATTAGATTATAAAATGTCACACTGCATTATTATCTATATGGTAAATGAGACATGCGAATGAGTTTACCATTGGAATCGAAAAGACAGAGCAAGCTGTTGCAACAAGGAATGTTATATTTGCCCTTTTCAAAGAAAGATAGCAGAAACCTTCCGCACATATTCTGAAGTTCAGCGCGGCTTGCAGAACTATGCTAATGTAGTGACATTGAGACTGCTTATGAAGACTAATTAACTGTATTATAACATTGAAGACGACGAGAAAGAAAGAGAGAGAGAGAGAGAGAGATTATTACATTCCAAATGAACTGTGCAAATGATATACTAGGAAAGAGATGATTGTGTTAGCAGACGAATGTCAATATAAAAGTCAAAGATTAGATAACCAATCATAGTATATGTACTATCATTTGCTACTGAAGCATTGCATAAAATATAGATTTGATTGATTAATAAATAATTACTATCGCACGAGTAAGCGCATAGTTTATTTGAAATAACACGAATTATGTTTTGACTTATCAAACAAGTGTAACAATTAGTAACAGTTTCACATATGCTGTATACAAAAAGTTCAATGTAAATAAACATTCTAATCCATTACAAAATCCTACTGAGTTACAACAACATGTCTCATACAAACGAGTCACATGCGTTCGATGTTGTTCTAGACTCAATCATCTTAGAGAATTGATTGCAATTACATAAATTATGAATACATGTTTTGTTTAAAGGGCAGTACTAAAAATGAACAATTATACTCCTTTGATCAACATTTGCACAGTAGAGTATATTGACAATAGCCATCGAAAAGCACGCGATCTAACTAAATGTATTAAAAGCGACGCTGGGTTGCACAATAATAATAACTAACTAACTAATTTGATGACTGCAGACAGCTAATTAATACTAGGATATATTTAAATATATATATATATATATATATAGATCAGGCATGTCAATGATGGCAGGAAAGGAGTTATATAGTTCAATGTCAAATTATAATTATGTAGTTTTTACACAGAAGATGAATAATATTTATGATTAAATAGTTTTCTAATCAACATCGGCATACATAAGCAAACATAGCACTCGCTATTTCCTTGATAATCAGTATAAAACTGGCTTGAACACTGATTAGACGAAAGAAACAGAATTTTGATTGATCATGTTTTTAGTGCAAAGCAATATTCATAAAGTCATGTTCACATTTTTTTTGTACTTTCATATGGCACCTATTATTCCAATGGATTCGATTGGCACAATCACAAAATGTAAAATTACCAATGAAATAAAACGAACACTCAGTTGATTTTGCACATTTGTTGAATTAGTTCAGTTAAAACAGTTTATACAACAGTAATGTACTTGAAGTGATCGATTTTTTAAGATATAAAAATTTTACTGTATTTACAACGTAGATTTTATTAAAATTTGTTGATACTCATCTGAGAGCATGCTCCAAAAGTCCTGCTCACCATTTCTGTCCGTATTTCGCCTAGAAACATGTCCCAAGACGGCATTAATTTTTCTATCACATCGTGATGAGTGTTACTCCTCGCTGTCATGTCTTATTCAATATCTCCGGTGAGTACTCGTTGGCAAAACTTGTGCAAATATTTCTCGACGAAAATTTCCCAAAAGAATGTTGAAATAAGCCTGCAGAAGTATACGAGTAAGTTTTACTCGAAGCTAGCTCTCACATCATTGACGTCTCTGTACAGATAATTATTTGTTGAAATTAATCTATGATATATTTTATTCGACATCAATAACTTCGTTAATTGTATCATTGAAATCAAATTGAATAGATATAGTTATTTTAAGACTATTCATCATTAAAATGAATTATTCATTGAAAAATGCGCCCTTTGGAAAATACGCTGCCGAACAAAAGAATTAATAACATTATTTTTTTGTCTTTTTCTCTTCATTTGATTAAATCCATCTCTCTGAAATCAAACGCACTGCTCAATGCGTTGACGCATAAAAATAGGCTTATTTTTTTTATTTAGAGTCTTTAATATTATGAAATTTAACATAATTATAAGCTAACGGAAAATTTTCATCGATGAGAAAATGAACAGTTTTCATTTCGTT